ATTATAATAACCGGCCGTATTGACTTAATTAATTAAGGACACTTATACCAATTCAAAATATAGCTCCTAGTTCGATTTGTGCATATTTTTACATACACTATTAAAATGGACCACGTGACTGTGACCTTGCACACGACCGGCACACTTTCTTCGACGATATGCTCGTGTACGCGGAAACAAATCTCAGGATGTTCGACAAGAATAAGTTCATTGACGAGGAGGAAGGTTCCAATTTATCCTTCAACCGCGATATGAATTTTTTTCACTGCGTACAAGAAGGACTTTCTAGGTGAATGGATGTGTGGGTCGAGTTGTATTAAATATATGTCTACAGCTGTTAAATGTAAAATTATGAATTTTTGAATATCTGCATAATTATTTTACTACATTTTCTGCTGTACATTCTGCACAGATAGTTAAGTTACATATAGTTATGAAAAATAATTAAAATTATTTTATATATATATATATATATATATATATATATATATATATATATATATATATCTTTACTATTCAAAGCTTTCTTGCATTCCATTAAATATCAGTCACATGATCAGCAGGCGATAACTTTCGACTGCAACGAAAGACCCAACAAAAAAAATAGCTCAACTAGGTAACTGTAATCGATTACAGTGACAAGTGCAATATGGAAATAGCGAACAATTAAAGTGTACCAATTTCAACGAGCAACGTCTACGACTACAGCAAAACTTACGCTAGCTCCATTACTCAGTTTTTCGCACTACTCAGATGGCCTTCGTTTTTCGCTGAAATCTCCTTTTTGTCACGCTTTTCAAATTTCCACGTGGGCCTCTTGCCAATTTTTCGACGGTTGACTCAGAACTCTTCTTGTCGCGATGGGTCGTTGCTGTAATATCGATACTTTGCTCAAGAGATGTTACAATGACGAGAACTTTCGAAACAAAAAAATCTATCAAACTTACAATTTTTGCAATGCTCGTTTGTTCGCGATAACCACTTCTTAAAACTCGTGAATAATGTAGTGAGAGTAGTCTTTTTTAAATTTCAGCTGAATATTTTCTCAAGACAATTAATTAAAAATTTGTGAAAGTGACATTTCGTACAAAACTTAAATTTTTGATGTAACACTTCCGCTGCTCGCAGGTCACTAACTTTTTACATCTGCACACTTTCATGCATGACAACGCTGCAAATGACAATCACAATTATGATTTAAAAAAATAAAATTACTACTGTATGCACTGTATTTGCAAACAATGGCAGCGATGATTACATCGCGCTTAACTTACATAAGAAGAATTGGGAATCTCCGAAGCATCTGAGCGTGATTACGCCAAATGTATTTCTTTTAATCTCGGTGCGAAAATAGTAATGCAACTGATTCAATATTCAAAAGAACTTGACCTTAGCCCTTAAAGAATCAGAGAATGCATTTTATGTTCTTTTTGTGGATAACTTTATATGTAATTGAAGGTTTAAAAAAAAATTTTTTTTAATTATTTTTGTTGCAAAAATTTATTGGTATTCTTATGCCTTACTTTATTAAATAAAAAAGTTATTATAATGTAATGTTAATAAATAAAAAAATTTTCATTTTATATAAATTATTATATTACATAGGATTGTATTGTCTTCATATTTTTAAATTCATCGACTTTGAAATTCAGTGTTTATAAAAATGTTGAAATGTACGAAATTCCATGCACTCTCGCATTTTGGTATGTGTATTTCAGCTATTGAACAACTTATTTTATAAATATACTTTTAAGTGTACTATTTTCTTATAAAAATCTGTGAGATTTTTTCAATATTAGTCACATAATGTCCTGAATTTTTTATTCAATATAATATCGTAGTTTTAAATTACAAACATGATTTTCAAATATTTCTTGTCTATCAATTCGAACTAATTACAGCAATTATTATAAATAGAGTTCATAAGCTCGGCCGGTAAAGTAGTACCTAGCCATCCCTTCCATCTTTAGCATACAGCAGGAATGTTCAGTCAGCTGCAAAAATGTAGAGCGAAATGCTTTATCTTGCCATGAACTAGCCATGAAACTGCATTTCATAAAACATGAACGTGGACTAAAAAACGACAATAAACGGTTGCTCGAAAACAAAAAGAGAAAAATGTTGGAGCCACCGGCTAAAAAACTTTACCGGTCATCGTCGTGTATGTCCTGCCCCCAGACTCTGTAGTAAGTACAGGTGGTGGTGGTGATCGCGTGGTGGTGTAGGCCCCTCCCGCCGATATAAGCCGCTCACTAGTCGCCGCCACACAGACAGTCACAGAGAGAGAGCCGAGAAGCGTGATCGTAGAGCTGAGCCGGCGCGTGTGCGAGTCTCTCTCATTTACCTCGCTGTTAGTTGTTTTTTTTTAATTTTTTTTATAACAATCACAAGTGTGCCTCGACCAAACTAAAAATAAGATAACTTTCATCGTCCCCGCATAAGGAGGTACGGCAACAATAGCAACCAAGAACTAGTGTATATTTTATTTAAAAAGTGGTTCCGGCTGCACTTCCTGTGTGTATGAGTGAACGAAAGCGATGGCGAGCGCGCGCGAGAGAAAGAAAGTGCCTTTTTTTTCACCATAACGCGGTTAATCAGTTTTACGATTGTATAACTTGGCTGAAGGCGTAATGTGAAATTTATAACAAATTTCTTTTTCTTTTGTTAAGCAAATTTTTATCGTCATGAGTATTGTTTACGCAATGAAAAATTTTTGCTTATGTGCTTTCTTTTCTGCTTTTGGGGACAGGTCGATTGAAAAAGCTCGTTCGTTACTTAATGATCGCCGATTAATCATGTATGAATATTACCGGAGTTCAATGACGTCACTTTGACTGAAAACGTGTTTCAGCAATGTCTTTCTTTATCAAATAAATAATTAAATATAACAGGGATAGAAATCCACTGTAAGCCGATATATGTTCATGAAAATTACGTAACACACAATCATTCAATTGAAAATAAATTTCATTCCGAACGCGTCCAAAAGCACGTTTGTCAAGCAAGGATGTGTGGAATTGCGCGTGTATATCGCTAACATAGAAGAGTATAGGGTATCGCGATGAAAAAGAGCCGGAATTAAGCTGTTCAATCATCGCTAAAAGTGAAATGACGACAGCGACACGCAAAGTGCGTTTTGGTCGCGTGCGTGTGTAAGGCGTGTCTAGTGAAACCTCCAATTTGTGGTGACGAAAACGTCGAAAATTGAAGGGACAAATCGCTATAATCCTATTGCGAAAAAGAAAGAAACGCACGCGTATCGTCAACCCACGTGAGAGTAGAACGTTTTGTTGTTTACACGCGAGCGCTGTCGAATGATAGTAGCTTACCCGAGCGAGCTTGCGCAAGTACCCACCTTTTCACTCAACGGCAATTTTTTTTCCTCGCGCGCATACCTCGGACCAAATGCTCTGGCGCGACTTGTGGATTTATAAACGCGTACACGGCAAGCACAATTGGTCAGTCGCTTCGGAATCGGTATATTAAAAATTGGAAGCTTCGCGGATGCTACACTGCAAAGTGAAAGAAAGAAAAAAAGGAAGGAACGGGAACCTTACGGTTTCGCAAAACGCTAGTCAATTTTCTATTTGTAAACTGCGCGGTGTGCGTTCGTGATCTTTCGAATTTATTTACTCGCGCTAACAGCTAGAAAGTCCCATACATTCAACTTTCATTACGACGCACGAAAAATTTCAGCACGGCCACGCGAAGGCCACGAGCAAGCGCAACTTGATCTCGGTCGGCGTAGCCGAAAGAGAAGCCTCGTTTGCGACGCGCGATTCTCGTCCAAGGCGACAAGCATGCTTTTATGGAGCCGTAAACGTATTTCGACGCGTCTCGCCAAAGCAATCGCGCTTCTTCTCCTTTACCCATTAAAGTGCCTTGATCGCGATATGTTAATTATCCGCGGCGTTGATGATATTCAGCGACACCGGTCGATAATGAAGGACGACAGTACAGAAAAAAGTAGAATAGCATTTGTAGTATCAACGTATGGCGCTTTAAATTGAACGATTTCAATGATAATTGCTGAGCTACAATGGGAATGCGCTATTGCTTAAGCGTACAGGTGAATCCTGCGAAATGAATGAATAATGCAACGCGGACCGAGACACCAAAAGTAATAAACAAACAAAAACTGACGTTCACGGATTAGCCGCGTACAATATACATTGCATAATAGCGAAAAAACGAGAACTCGTTATACGTCGAGTGTGAATATTAATAATCTTTCAGAGCAAGGTGGAGAAGCAAAATAAAAATACAGGCAAATCAAGGATTTTTAGAACGCCTCCTCGATAATCATTATTTATTCAGCGCGTCTACTACGATAGCTGGAAATCCATCGACCTCCGAATTGCAAAGTGTCCTCGTCGGGGCAATAGCACCCGAATTGTTTTGCGCGCGCGCTCCACTCATTCGAATGCATAACGCGTAAGTGTCATCATTTGACAAAACAGGCGAAGGGGATTCCCCTATTTCTTTGCCGGTAGGGCGATCGAAAGAGCGCAAATTGCAATTTTATATTCTTTCAATGAGACGCGTCACCGCTTATCTTTTATTTCAATTTATCAAGGCCTTGCATTAATAAATTACTTCGTTAACAAAGTTGGTTTTACAGAGGATTGATAAATTCACTCTACTCGTGCGGCTTCTGAAAGATTTTTCATTCGCAATGCTCCGCAGTCAATCAAACGAATACTACTCACACGGCGTTTTTGTGATTACGCCTAAAATAATCATCATGAATTCTCCAAAATTACCAGCCATTTCTCCGCGTCAACATAGTCAGTCTTCTACTCGAAACAAAAAAGAAGAAAAAACAAACCCGACGACATAGCGACACACAATCAATCGAGTAATCTCACGCGCGCTCCTCTCTCGCAGCCTCAGCTGTAGTCGCGACCGCGACTTTCGCGCGCAGAGCGCTTGCGCGTCGCTCCGTCGAAAGTGATAGTTTCGCGAGAAAGGCACCGCATCGTCGTCGTCCTTCCCTCTCTTCTTATTCTTTTTATCTTCCGGAGCCCGTCCTTGCCACTGCGCGCGGCATTTCGCTGAGTCACTAGTATGTATCTCGCGAGAGTGTCGTCGCACAGAGAAAGAGAGAGAAAGAAAGAGAGTGAAACTGTGCTCGCTCGCGGAATGCACTTATCGATCGAGCATTGATGAGTTTTGCTCGTTTCACTCGCTCAATTATCACACGTGCAATGGTCGTCTGTGAATCTACTAGTTTTAGTTTGTGTCTGTACGAGCAATTACGTTTGCCGTAGCTGCTTTGTGTGATACGTTGTTATTCCACCGGGGAAGTGCATATCGGCTCTTAAACGATTGACTTCTACAGTCGAGTTCGTTGTTAATCTACACCTCAAATCAACGTAAGCAATCAAGTTATGTATTATTCATAACGATTTTTTCATTTTTTCAGGATAACTCGCCAAATACATAGTCAAAATGAGGATCACAACGACGATATTCGCGGCCTGTCTGTGCGTCACAATAGTCAATGCCTGGCCACTCGATTCATTCCGGTCGAGGGTAAGCACTAACCTATCTATTATAATTTTTTCTTTAGTTCTTTTTTTCTTTTTTTAAGTAGATCGCTTTGCACGAGTATTTTTAATAATTGATAGCTTCGCAAACAAAAGACCGCCAAAGTCTCCTTTTACCCAATTTACGAAAAGTTGGCGGTCGGCAATTTACGTAATACACAGCTGATCATTTCCCCACGTGAGAGTCTTTCACTTTTAAGGTTTTAAAGATATACAAGCGCACGTTGGTGAAACGTTGTAATCAGTATCTCTTAGAGATTCAATTTTAAGAAAAAAACCACTTTGACAGATTTTTTGTGTTATTCTGGATATTCAATGCCTTGTAAGAACAAGAATTAGAACAAAAAATAGACGTTCGCGTCGAGTTGAATGTTAATAAAGAAAGTATCGAAATGAGGTCAGTTACAAATTAATGATAATTGCTAGATATTTACGTAATTGTAATCCCGCATGGTTGGACGTGTCAAGGAATTAGTATAGTAGCATAATTAAAAATAGGTTTACTTGATTAATCATGCAAACTCACTAGTTTACATTAGTCTTAGCGTTTAGTCAGAGCTCATGGCAATTAATCAGTGGTTTCAATTATATATTTGTATATATCGAGTTGACTAAACTTTTTCAAGGTTGCCGTATCATCACTCTATGCAAAACACACAATTTTACTTCAAGAATTATCGATAAAAAAATCAGTACAGTTAGTATCTTCGGTCGTAATAATAAACACATGAAACTTTACAGCAAAAACATGTCGAGAAAAAGAGGTAAATGACGATGAGCCATTGCAATGGATATTAACAATACTAGTATGACTCTTACGTAACTTAGAAAACGTTCGCTTAGTGTGTTCCTTCCGGAGGTTTTTCTTCGATCGTCTCTCGATTGACGCGAAAATGCGGGTGTGACCGCAAAACGTTGATTTAGAATTATTGCATTAGAGTAGCGAATCCGATTTAACGTTTCTACGTTTGGAATAGATTTATCGTATTTATCCAATTAGAGAGTGAAGTAAATACAGGCATTCAGATGTTCGATTCAGTCATTCAATTGAGATGCCTGTTCGACTCAACAAAATTATCATGTAAAACGTTCGGATTATTTCACACGCTCTAACTTATTCTCTAACGATCCGCACGTATACGACCGAAGCTCGTTCGCTCGTACAGGCTTTGCACAATATATTCTTTTTTTATTGGCCTTTCCTTCGCGTCTTCTTTTTCTATGCGCGCGTTCGCGACGAAGGAAAACAAACCACATTGCGTTTCTCGAAAATGAAGAAACACGCTGAAAAATTACATAAAAACAATTTGCATTCGTGCGAGATTCTAACTGAAATTTCACGTAGCGGCCAACAATAAAAATCGAGTTATCGATTTTTTTCTGAAAAATAACACTGAATAGAGGCTGTGCGTCACGACAGATCGACATCCACATTCCGGTGTAGATCGAAACTTTCTTTCCCCTCTCTCGGTACATCGTAACCACGCTGCCGAATAGATGAAAATACTAGGCCTAACCTACAACGATATATTAGCGTAACTTTCGGTTTTGTTTGACATAATCGTCCTTATTAACGAAAAAAAGCAAGTAGAAGAAAAAACCGGCGCGCTTCATCGTGCATACACGTATGCACGTCGTAGCGCGTCTAACACAGATACACAGACGTGGACGCACGTGTGTGCGAAGCGAAACTTTCACTGGGCACGCACGGACACTTTCTTCGCTCGATCGCCGACAGCGCAGACGCCTTCTCATGGAAAGTGCCTATCTTATTCTACTATATAGGCAAAAGTGCGATGCCCGGTGCCAGACTGCTGTCGTAATAATCAGTTGAGGAAGACTTTTGCCGCCGGAAGATTAATCGTAAGATGGTAACACGATTGGATAATATTGATCAGATTTTATCGCGAGAAACGATTTTTTTAGAGAGAGAAAGAGAGAGAGAAGATTTTTGATTGGGAATTCGCAAATGAATGATTCCTAACTCGAAAGTAAAGAGTTTAATATGGCAACTACTTTGATATGATTGAATTAACACTTTCACGCGAGGTTTATAATCGTATAAATTGGTTGTATCTCTCTGTTGCTTATTAGACGATTCCGTCAGAGAAAGGATTACTTGTATTTTAGCTTGTAGAAAATTAGTTATTTTGACCTTGTTTAAGGTAGAATTAAAATTTGTACAGTAAAGTGATCACCATGCGTTGATATATACTGCTTTGAGAAATTTCAATAATTTTGTAGTAAGCAATGCTGTCAATAACAGGGTAACGTGACATTTCGCGCCAACGAAAAATTATGCAGAAGTGAAATTCCTAGAAAGCATGTTTTTATAATTAATTTGAAAAAAGGCATAAAAGAAGTCGCCAGAAAAAAAAATGGCATTAAAACATTTACGCAATCGAAAGCCACGTAACACGCCGAATCCGAGTGAACGACCAAATCCAATCTCTTTGTTCGGCTCACAATACTGTCTTGTTTTTTCTCCATTTTTATCCCGAATAAAAGAAATATGCTTTCGCTCGCGGTTTAATCGATTCGATCTTTCGCACAATCAAAATCTACCGCATACACGTAGCTTTCGTTCCAGAAGAGAGGAGTCGCCGCACGATTTCACCTGACAAAAGTGTCGATATGAGTAATTTTTCTACAGCGATAAGCTTCGGAGGTGTAGCTTTTTTTACGCGCCGCAAATTGTAGGCTGCAAAGCTAAGATTTACAACGAGGCAATTTTTTCTCTTATTCTTTTTCTCGAACGGATATTATTGTACGAGGTGCCGATTTTCACGCACTCACAGCTAGCTGTACATGTGTGGAGTTTACGAGTCGTCGAAGAGAAAAGAGAAGGTCGATCCACGTGCTCGCTCGTGCTTCGTATGACATTGACACTCTTACCGACGCGCGAAACTTGTTGTACCGTCATCGCGACACTTCTGTTGTCACTATTCAGATGTTTAATTGCAGCTTTTTCTCTTGTGTATTGTTCGGAATAACTTGATCGAATTTATTTTATACGACTGTGAAAGTTATTCGATGACTCTAATGCGATTTCGTGAAGTGAGATTTGGAAAAAATACAAAAATGCACGTTGAAAGCATGAAAGTTAATAGTTCGATAAATCCGATAATCAATAAGTATACGCACTCGAATTATAAGGAAAAAGCGCACAATCGCTCGGAATTCAAAATTTCTATTTCGTTACAAGGTGATCCAGTTAGCATTCACTTACCTCCCGAGTGTAAAAATATCGAGTCAGCTAACCACGAAGTTTAGACTCTTTCACAATCTCAGAAGAACGACGGTCGCGTAGCTAATCATCCGCGTCGCCACTTTCTATAACCGAACTGACAATTTATCATTTCGCCAGTTGGAAAATATAATATCGGGCGGACGAGCGGAAAAATCGTTGTGCAATGTTTAATTGAGCAACGAACGCTATAGGCGGAAATCAAAATCCGGCATTAGCTCGATCAAATCTATCATGTCAATTGACACCAACAACTTCCAAACCGAGTATTTCCTTACGCGAAATAAGGCGAACAATATATATATAATCCCGAGAAAAAATAGTCGAAGCCCATGCGTGACTTAATACGATGCTTATCGATATCCGAAGAATTACCATTCCACGCGCGCTCGCGCGCAGCCAGACATTTCGGTGCAAATCTCGCCGTATGAAATTGAGATACAGCTGACCGGACGACGTAGATCGCGATAGCGCTCGGCGCAGAGAAAGTGGACCTGCAGCAGCAGCCAGCAACGTTGGGCAACTCGCGTTCGATGTTTTATTGGCACGGCCGCGCCCTCTCTCTCTCTCTCTCTCTCTCTCTCTCTCTCTCGATCTCGATCCGAGGCTGTAAATCTTCTAGAGAAATTTCGGCGTTTGGAACGTCGACGGCGATTAGATTGTTGTCTTCGTGTTTATTTGACGCAACCGAAAATACTGAATATGCATGGAAATCATCAAAGACCAATGATATAACTGACTCGCTTGATAGATTTTTCCTGTGGCGGTCGGATTGTAAAATGCTTCGAATTCTTGCGGTTACCAAATCTCCGCGTGACATAATTCGTGCAATTACATCTCTATATAATTTATAATAAACGTCGATGGAAAAATTACCGATCGCTGGTTTTATCGACTACTTTTATTTACTCATAGAGAGAGATAGACGATTGTATAATCTACAGTAACGTGTGTTTCTTGGGCGCTCATAAATAATATATTATACGATCGCCTTGCGAAAAATACAAGCTCGTTCGTTTTCTTTTTATAACTCCGAGAGCTCTCCGGTTCGCGCTCTGTTATGGGCGTTAACAAAAATTTTTCACGCTGCTAACATTTCAGTAAAACACCGCCCGCGCGTATTTTCGTTGGCCCCCGTGTACCAAGAAATAATAACGCGAAAATGACCGGTAGCGCGGATAACTGCAGCAGTGCGCGCACCAGCCAAATGGTAACCCGAATGATTAATGTCAAACGGCCAGTCGACAACACGAGTGAAAGGTCTCGGCGACAATTCTTGTACACGTGCGTTGCTTTTTTTTTCTGCCTTGCGGCAGACGTAAATTGTAGGCTTACTAACAATGGCCGCATGTAAAATAATAGGCACAAGTGAAACGATAAACCCGGGGTATTACGTTGGACTTGCAAATCCGGATTGTTTGTATATGATCAACTTTTTCGGCAGGATACAGCAAAGGAAGAGGTAATTTTTTTTTCTCGGTGAGAATTTTTTTCGTAAAACTGCATTTGCGTCAGTCGACGTACGCTCAGAATGCTTGATTGCTGTACAATCGTTCCTGATTGGAATTTTAAATCGACTCTATTACATCGATTCATGATGCGTCAAGTGAATTCATAGGCCGGAAAATTATTTAGAAAACGCAAACACAATTAACTGCTTCACACATACACTGAAAACACAAAATCTGGAAATCATGCTGTATCCACTGCGATGCACGTAATGCAAGCTTGCTGCACCGAAAGCACACAAACATTGCCAAAAGTACCCACGAATGAAAAGAAAATATAGGGCCAACAGACAAGTATATTGTTCGCAGGCGCTCGATCGGCTGATGATGTCCGAGACGGAAAATGATCCCGGGCTGAGGAACAAAAGGACAATCGGCGTGTTGCGGCAATTCTTCCCTGATATCTCCAAGGTGAGGCGCATTGATACGCTCGGCGCCATCAATCTCATAAAACAAACGCACCATTACGTCTCTCACCTATTTCTATTTTTCGCAACACTTGTCTTCCTTGCTCGATCTTTCTATCTCTGCACACCAATATACTTTGTTTTGTTCTGCAAAATACGATTTGTCATTGAAGTGCGAAAAGTGAATCGAAACCTACACTTTTTAATGTATTTGATATGCTTTTCACACTACACTCGCGAACTCGACTTCAGCCATGAATGTAAAAAAGAAATTGCATAGGCGTATGAAAAAAACTTGTGTGAATTCGCCTTCAAAGAACTTCAACAAGTTACCATCTTTCGCATTTTGACGCCAAGGCCCAAACGAAACAATTACTACAATAATCAAAACATCGATCCTCCCACAGCTAACAAGAAAGCAAGCAAAAAGAGATTCTCATAGCAATAATAAAATCATCAACGATACGATCGTAAGAAACGTCTGCAATACGAAGTCTATAAGACAGCGTGGAGCAAAGAACGTTAAATCTGCAGTCGACAACATTCCTGGCGTGAAAGCAGCCGCTTTTGCCGCGACGCGTTTTCGTGTACACATACCTATATATCCTTTTCGCTACCTCGTTACCACGTCTCTCTGCCCGTGCAGTAATTCAACCAGGTGCACGCGCGTGTGCATCCTTGCGAAAGCGGAAGAGCGGAAGCTCTGGATATGGATGCGCTTTCGAGAGCGGCCTTATACCGAGATTTTCTTGGTTTTAACGTCGGTCGTTCAATCGAATCATCATTCTAGATGAATGGAGTCTTCTTGGCCAAGTAATCATTGACGCTGCCAGCTAAGGCGCTTTAAAAGCACTGCCTTTAAACCAAGATAATCGCTGAAAGGCAAAGCTTATCGCGGGCGATATTTGTTTTTCTTCTCGGCTTACGTAAAGATCCATTCTTCGCGGTCATGTGCTATAAATTTCACTAATTACAATTCATAGCGAGAAGTAAACACCCACTTATAAATCACTTTGGTTAAGCAGCTGACTTTTCCATTCTCAACAACCAACACAATAGGATCAGCGCGCGTTACGCGATACGTCTACGATCGATAAGCCTACTGCGCGCAAAAAACTAGATTACGCGTGCTCGCGCTTTTCCCTTTCGCGAGGAAAAAAAAAAAGGAAAAAGGCAATCCATCTTTCTCGATCTTTGGCGCATTGTTCCGACTTGGCAAAGCGTTGCAATGCCGCTCAAGGATTCCTCGGGTTATTGTTATTACTATTCATCGGCGCGCGAATTTTCATATCGCATAATTGATTCTCATTGTGAAGAAAAAGCTAATTAACCGAGATAATTACTCTTTTCTTCTCCATTGTTTCTCGCGTTTGCGCTATCAATGAATTAATTAAAATTTGGCAACGCGACAGACCTCATTAAAACCCTCCACTTTATAGTTTCCGACTGAGCGCCCTCGCGCGCGCTCGCCGTTCTTGATCAATCGGATTCAGATCGGACCCATTATTTTTGCCAGCCAAGTGTACTGTTATTGAGCCAACGCTGATTTACGCAAACCACAACGCCGCCGCTAATCAACGCAATACCATATAATCATGCGTTTTGTCTAGAAATTTGTGTGTTTCGAAATACGGAATTTTCTTTTCAAGGATACAAACGTATTTTTTTTTGTCAGTCACATTCTCTTACATTCAAGTAAAATTAGACTGTCCGCCTTTTCGTCGTCGACGCACGAAGAAGGAAAAATAGGTTTAGCAACGCTTTGTAATCGAGTTTACAATGCGCTATAGTTATTTGAAAAAGAAAAGCGAGCACGAAATCCGACGAAAGCTTTGATAGTGTATGCGCGCACGCAGCTAATCATGACGAAATGCATCGATGCTTGGCGGGTGTTTTTCGGTACGAGGTCATACATCGTTTTCTTTCGTCATGAAGATTCACAACTACGTTTTCTGTAGTCACATACAAACGGCGTAGTTACTTTTCTGCTCTCCAAGGATGCGAAAAAAAAATACGAAAGCGGGTATCACTTTTCTTTTGTATCTCTCTCTCTAGATGAGCTTTTTTTGTAAGGAAAACAAATGCGCACTTACGTGACTCGTCGAATAAATTTTCAATTACAAGTGAGAACTTTTTTGTTCGATTCTATCGGGCAACGCTCCCACTTTTTGGTAAGCAATTGATCAAAGCACGATAAGTAAATGATTGTCGGTGAAATGTTGCTTCAGTTATGTAGCAATACTATCCGAGTTTCTAAAAGTTAATTGAGTTAAACTACATTCCTTGGCTTCATCAAACTTTTTACACTGCATTTTCTACTCCACTAAATCAATCGAAAAATGTGCCTCCATGCGATAAAATATATCTACGCTGCTATATACTCCATTTTCTCTTCACAACCATCGCTCACGAAAGAAAAGCCAGCGAAGAACCTGGCGAATTTCCCTCTCGGCAATCGCCATGCTCTCCGTCGCAAGAAAACACTTTGTGGATAAAGAAACTGTGCCGGAAGAGTTTTGCCGCGAATAAAAACACGAACAACAAAAAACATTGCCTGTGTGTGTATTTTGTAGAGGATCGAAGACAAAGTAAATTATATCGTCGGTGAGATTTTCAAGATCTTCGGGCCTGCTGTGATTGGTAATCTATTGGGTGGAGCTAATAAAGACAAGAACGGCGGTAGCAGTAAGTCAAACGATGGTTCCACCGTCACAGTTGCAAATCCATTCGCGGACGACGATGACGATAGCTTCACTAATGACGACGACTTCTTCAATGCACCTGCCAAAGAGGGGCAGAATGGTAGTGCTACCAGAATTACCGTTGATTTGCCGAGAATCGACAACGATAACGAAGTGAACAGTCCGATAACGAAAGCGACGACCGAGGCGGCAAAGATAACAACGATCGGGGTTGAACCTGAAGAAACAACTTCAGCAGGTGCTGAGAGCGTCACACCTAGTGTGGTTCTTGATTGATGACGAGCGTCAATTTTTCATCAACTGAGCGAGATTCGTCCGATGAAAAAAACTTGATAGATAGCTTGAATAATTTATTTCTCTTCTTTTATTTTTTTTATCAAAAGTTGCAAGAGAAAACATAATACTGTTCGACAATCGGAAAGATACTTAATTTTAATATTTTTTGGATTTTTAGCATTAAATTGCTAATAAACATGCCCACTGCTTTTTTGTGTTTTATACATTTTTCTATGATCTTAACAATACTGAAGAAAAATAACTATTTAAACAGTATTATCAAGATGAGCTTACCTTAATTTCTAGAAACATTTGTTTTATTAAAGTACAAAAAAGTAGTCGAGCATCGAGCATTATTTATATGCATACCATGTCTCATACTCTCTGCATTTACGTGATATGGACTTCTGTTCTTGTTTTATTTTCCATTAAGTTTGCATATATTTTTTTCTATCGTTTCAATATGAAGTAAAAATTGTTGTACTGCTATTTTCTGTAACACTCAAATTCATTTAGTTAGAACAGTTACGATGATCTGACTTTCTTTTCTTATTAATTTTTAATATTGTCCTTTACGCGTAATCCCAACTAATTTTTATTCATTTAGTATTAAATTGGCATTGCATAAATTTAAGTATATTGAAAACAACTCTGTTTTTTTCTAGCTATATATAAATATATATACACACATACATACATATAAAATATTCGTTTGTTTTCGCAATTTCTTCATTTCTATTCATTCCATATCGCTTTACTTGCGGCTAATTTTTTTATCACGATTTCCTTCATTGTTCAGTCAAGCGATTTCACTTTTCTTTTGTTATACTTTTATACGATACTAACAGACAGCAACATTGAAATCTTGATCTTCACGTTTACAGGACAATATCGTAAGAATTTTCAAAAGATTAATTTTTCGCGTATTCCACTTTCCTTTCTTACTTGTCTCACTTGTATCATAATTATATCAATGAACCAAAGTACACAAACATGACTTTCTTATAAGGATCATTTATATAGAGTACAACATATAGATAGTTATTTTTTTTTTCTAAAACAAATATTAAAATCAAAATACTTTCTATGCCTATATTAAAGAAATGTAACTAAATGTAAATTAATTTTTGTACATTTCATCTACAACGTATTTCATACAGTTTTATCATTCAAGTTGTTTATTGTCATCATTGTATTTATATTTAAAATCATTATAATAAAAATGTTAATGGAATCAAACAAAAACAACCTATTTTTTCGTTAAAAACACTATCAATTGGAATTTTTCAAAGAGTATATATAGTGTACTAAACAGCATGACAAGTCTATAATAAAAGAAAAAAAGACGGAAAGCATCTACATATATTACTACAAAGCTACCAGAGGAAAGGAGTACAAGGATGAATAAATACGACGGAAGAGTATGACTATTTAACGGGGCTTCGACAACTTGGACGAATATCGGGAAAACCTACAACGTTTCCGAAAATTGGAAGTAAACGAAATTATATAATTTTACTTATGTGCTCTTTCATTTCGTACCTTTTTCGCTCATAAATTATGCGAATCTTTGTTTTATGTTTATACATCTATCTGTTCCCCTGCTCTGTCGGTGTTTTGAATTTTATAATCTAATTCTTTTTCTATGACATTTGTGCTTATATATGCTTGTATACTTTTGCTAGTTTAGGAGTGAAATATAACAGATTCATGTGACTATATCATAAGTGATTAGTAAGAGGAAAATCTAGTTTTGTAATATTATTATTTTGTACTATATAAATTTTTTATTTATTTATTTGTTTGAGCAATTCCAGTGAAACATTTCGTTCGTGCACTTATTTTTAGCAATGAATGTAACAAAAAACCTAAGCTAGCAAAATTACGCAATTGAACAATATCTATCAACTTACCGTTATGACTTTAGTGTATGAGCATCGTGAACGTATTAAACAGTACACACGATGTATCCTTTCAGAACTGAGGAAGGACAATTTTTGAAAGGCCTCATTAAACCATTTGGCCTTGCATTTGACATAATAAACGAATTTGCATTCTCTTTCACCATTTGTAAAAGTAAATGATCATTGTTACAAGGTTTATATACTTGATTCGATCTCTTGATTGTTGATGTAACATATTTTTTTGTGTAATTAACGACTATTTTATACTCGCTCAGTACATGACAATGTGCGAGACAATTATAGCACTGCATATTAATCATTGAGCATTCTGCGTTTCTCTTCTTTTTGTTAAACATCTTATCTACGACCACTTACTAAGCTAATGCATATTTAGCTAATTCTTCAATGATTTCTTTACCATGCGATAATGTTTTCATATTTACATGATATAACAATACATATTATACATGAACATCTGTATTTAACATACGTATTACATTATCACAATACAAACTATTGTGCAAAATTACTCAACTGTGAAATTTAGACACCAAATATTTTGCACTTCAAAGAAAACTGAATACTAGATTCCTCTCACCTTTACTGTTTTAAAACAACATATTTCCACAATGCAATAATTAAAAGGATTTTGCCATAAAAATTCAATACTCATGTCAATTCAAAGTCAAAATTAACCTCATTTTTATTCTGCAGGGTATACAAGATGTAGCACCAGAAGCCAGCGAAACAAATCAAGTAGTAAGCGAAGCTGATGCTACCCAGTCACATCAAACGGCAGAATCACAAAACAATGAAGTCAGAGTACAGTTCGCCGATGAGACGCCAAGCGAAGCTGCTAATGAAGGTGAACTCGCACCTCTCGATGATGTCGAGGCTGCGGACGATGACAACCGTAACAAGAGGTTCCTCACCTTTGGTGGTAACGGCGGCGGCAGTGGAGCTGGATCTGGAAACTTCCTCTTCGACATTATCAGGGTAAGTTTTTTAAAGAAGATTTCTCAAAAAGTTTTCTAAGATAGGTGAGAGATTTTTGTATTGAGTGTATGTATTTCATAGACTATGAGGATTGTTAATCAGTTCATCGACACGTACTTTATTTGCAGCGCTGATTGAGAGAGCGATGTTGAATTTTTAAAGCTCTATAAGATTAAGTATCCGTCGTTGCATTAATACTACTTTCCCATTTAACACATATATTTATTTATAAACAAGTGAAGGAAAATAATTTTTTTGCTTGAAATGACTCAATAAGAATAATAAAACACTGCATGTTCATTCAATATCATGCGAAATCATTACACAGGAAAAAAAAGTTGCAGATCAAGTCATGTACTTGCAAGTAAAAATAGTTTTCGCTTAATGTTCATTTGCATATCGCGTTTCAAGATATCAGACATGCTTACGTCATATCTATGCTAATCTTGAATTTCTTATTCACAAGTTGAAAAAAAAATTTTTTTATTATCCGAAGGTCCATTGCAGCGTCACGAAAGATGAAAAAATGCATCTAAACGGATTTTGAATAACGTTAACAATACATGAAGTCAAGAAAATTTCTTTTAGCTCATAGGGTAATATATTGTACAAATCAGTTTCAGTGTCATTACCCCGCGTTCAATGCACAATGGCGCGACACAATATCGCGTGCTCGCTCGCATGTGAATCGAGGCTTCCGCGCGCGTATTATCTTCTATTAGTGGCGAATGAATGACTCGTGCAAGTGCCGCCCTTGCCAGCGAAAGTCCACAACAAGCCAAGGTTTTGCGCGACAAGGATGCCATCGTTTTTCTTTCTACTTCGCGTGTTTTTAATCCTCAAGTTGTATCATTTCATTAGTGTAATCAACCAATCGAATATAATGGCAAGAATTTTACATAAAAATTCACCCAAAACATAGTTTGAATTTTACGTATTTAATTTATATCAATTTTTTCCGTTAGTAGTTTAGGATAGGAATTATCTTATATGTATTTTATTAGATATAAAAGTGAAAAATTTTGTAGAAATTGTTGCTGTCGCTGTTCATGTTTTACGTATGCCGAGTGCTACTATAATTTTCTTCTAGTCGAACGATTTGACATAATCGAGCCTCGTGAAAGTAAGGCAGTTTGTCACTTATTCTTTATTTTTATGTACTTTTGAAGAAAAAAATCGCCAAGTGGAAATTGCAGAAATCGACACAGTTAAATTACCGTTACTTCACAGTCGGCTTACTTTTACTTCAGAAAACTTTTACAGCTGAATAATACTTTTGTATCGTATTCGAAAATCTGTATAATACATTTGAAAAGTAATGGGAATGGATAAGAATAATTGACAAATAGTGAAAAATAATCAATGTTTGAGTTAGGCACATTTGTTATTTCTATATACAGGTATAGGCTTATATTATATGTAAAAATGGTATTTTACATTCTTTTAAACGGGATTTATAAAATACTATTTTACATTCCATTTGACATGTAAAATGGTGTTTTACTTTATTTTAAACTGCCAATAGAATTCAAAAGTAATTGCATTGATATCTCCATAATGACTAGAAACAAATCATTTGAAAATTATTGACTAGAAAATGTAGCTATAAGAGGAAGGACATCTTTTTTCTCTAATAATATTGGAAGATATTCTATTATTTTCTTTGGTTTGATTTAGAGTATTACAAAAGTTCAAATAATGCCAATTAAAATAAAAATTTTTATAACAAATCTTCTATTATCGATCTATAAGATTATAAAGAAATTCATAACATGAAATCAACTTTGTTAATACTGAAGCTGAGTATAAAGTTACAAATACACGTTAACTACAAAAAAAAGTAAGAATGAATCACCTCTCGACAAAAAATTAAGTTTAACAAAGTGGACAAAAAATGACGTCTAATAATTTAACAATTACTGGAAGAAGCAATTTACAAGAACTTGTAGTAATTTTGAAAAGTAATTTGACTTAAAGCACATTGTAACCAGAAGAAAAAAACAAACTTCGTGGAGAACGACAAGTAAACCGAGTTTTTCTTTATTTTTTTAAATGCCAATTGTAAAGCAGAAGTGGGCGTAATTCGTGGAAATATGTCACCCCTGCTATTTCGAAAGATCACAGAACAAAGAGTGAAGCAACCGTATGTATGTCTCCATAGCAAGCAGCTGACGGTGCAGCTCGAGCAGCCGGCACAGTATATCGAGTAGTGGCTGGTACTCAAAGCCTGGGGCTGGGCCTTAGTGCGTCTCGCGACATTGGCCCAGCCCCTATGATGCCTGCTGCCTCGGGTGGTATGATACCACCTCCGATGATGGCTCCAAGTGCCCCAATGGCCCCAATGGCCCCAATGGCTCCAGGAGCTACTATGCCCCCAGGAATGATGATGGGCAACGGCACGATGCCAGCGGTACGACGAGCCGTGGCTACCTCCTCCTTTGTCCAGTCGTGACTTTTTCTCGACTTTATTTTAACTATACCACCCTCGTGCGTCACATTCCTTGCGTCTAAGCGTGTCTTTCTTCAATTCTAGTGTTGTTTGTCGATTTTATTTACTATTATCCCAAGCGTAAGTATATGAGCAATCGTGCGATGCGTTATCTAGCGCCATTATTCAACTACGGTTCTCAAATTACGAACAATTATCTTGTTTTCTTTTATGCATCTCTCATATTTCAGTGGCCACCGAATATATTGTCTTGTTGAGTAAGTAATAGATCATTTTCTAGCAATTTTATTTACAATATCCATTCATCAATATAAATTATTTTTTTTTATTTTAGTACGAAATAATTTTCGAATAACCTCCTTGTCTTTTTGAAATTTCGTATTTTTTTTTAATGAAAATATTTTTAATTTTATTCGACGTCTAGACGCAAGGAAAAGCACTTTTATCTTTTTCTATTCTTTACTGACTGATTTGTGTAGAAGCACCCTTTGTTTACTATTTCCGCACACTTAACTGCATGTAGCCATTAATTACATTGCTCGACGCACCTATTTAACAATATAAATTCTCACCTGTCTATATGCACGTATATGAGCCTTGCATTCAAACACGTTGCACACCTATTCTAGATAAAACTTAATTTTCTATACTTACTTTCTAATTGTTGACTAAGAACTGAAATTTCTTCTACAACTATCTCTTTACTGTTTCATAGATTTCCTTCTTTTCCTCATACCTCTTCTCCGATCCTAAACTGCAAATGTCTATTGTCACAATTTTTTCTCATATTAATCAGCATGAACTCAACTTTAATAATTTAATTTTTTTCGCTTTACAATCAAAATTTTGAAATATTGCGTTAACTTCAATATTTATGTATATATTCTTAGTATTTCTATAGCAATACTTATCACATTCTTCATTTCATGACATTTTTCATTGTAATGAAAACTTTGAGAAAAACATAAACAATTGCTTCGGGCCATTTGATTTCTAACTGCATCTCTTCGTCCTGTTCTCCTCATTTCAAAGAAAATGATGTTGAAGTAAAAATTACTAAAATTTTCAACGCTGAAATGACATTGATTGGAAAAGCCCAAACGGAAGAATCAAGATAATGTAAGAGTTATATCAATGTCTCTATATCATTCTTTCTATATTTTGTGGAGATGACTATAACGCACTTTACAACCATTCCAATTAATAATCACAATATAGTAATTTTTACTCATAACTTCATACCTTCGTTCATTTTACATCTAAAATCTAAAAAGTAGATGGTCCTTGAAAAATTTTAATCCTAACATACTATCCTCTGTTTTCCTTTTAAATATGTAACCAACGACCAACGGTCCCGACGTTACGCCGACTTATTGCAGACAAAATAATGACATATTAATTATGTAAATTGATTCAGATTTGACAATAAATATACATGATGCCTCAACAAATGCCACGACTTTATATACCCATATTTTTTCTCAGATATTGTGACTGTCGAACAGATTTATTAGTTAAAATTTGTTACTTTGGTATATATTTCCATTTCCGTAACTATTGTTGCACCATCACCAAATATGAAATTTGATGTAGACAACAAGTAGCTAAATATATGAGCATTAGTGTAATTAAATTACAGTGTACTGGTAGGCAAATCCACCGCGATATAAATAGCGATCATTCAAAATATTATTGTAAACGTGAATACATTTTTTTTATACGTTTTATTAAAGATTCAATATCGCGGTTGTTTTGTCTGCCAGAAGTATTCTTTTTATTTTAATTGCCAATATTATCAAACACAATTTTAGCAATTGTATTATTTGGTTGTATTCAGAAGCCACACAATATTTTAGTATGTGAAATCATCGAAAATTCTGATGCACCATTAAAAATAAAATTATATATTTTTCAACGACAAAAAGATCTGTAGTTGAATGGTTTATAAAAGTGGATTTGTACGCAGTATGTTTGTGGAGTTGAAAGGGCTTTCGCATTATTATCGGGTGATATTTGATAAATGAAAAAATATTATAAATCTACCACGTAATTGTAAGAGGAAATATGTAGCTGCAAAATTATTGAAATCTTTGTATCAAGATTAGTAGAATTGGACTCTACGTAAGTTTACATTTGTAGACGGTCGTGAGCAAAAGGGGTAGAGAAGTTGTAGCAAAATTGATGTTTTTCCAGTCATTACTTTATTGAACATAGTAGTGTCGGGAGCGCTGGAGCTGGACGTCGAGATGCAGTGTGCGCACTCTGAATAATGATAGAAAAGTTGAACTATCAAAAGAATGAATGAATTTTTTTTATCTTTCATCTTTTTTATTCCATCATCCACCAAACACGTTCGAAAATGTAAATATCATCTAAATGTGTTTTTGATAATTGTTGAGTTGATACTCGTATTTAAACTTTTGCGTTTCAAAATAACTTCTTTTATAGGTTTGAAGGTTCAATAATGAGCAATTTTTATGATTGCATGGTTTTTATCATATTTCAAATACGTGATTAACATGCGTGTTTTTTTCTGAACGGTGTGAAGTGTGGACTAACTTATTTTTTAATTAATTTGGAGTGCGCACCTCGTTAATCATTGCAAAGCTCTATTCTCTACCCCACCACGGCAATTAGATCCTGCATCGCTTTTTTATTATAAATGTACTTATGACAAGTTTTAAATTTCCGTCGTATTTGATTCCTGAACTATTCGCTCTAAAACGTATTGGTTCAAAAAATTACGATACGAGGAAAAAAATTAATTTTATAGTTTTTAAAAGTTTTTTAAAAGAATGGCAACTTTTAAAGGACATAATGTAAAAATATTATTTATTTAACAGATTATTTTTAAAGTCAAATAAATTTGAAAAATTCAGGAAGTCAAATTGGATTCATGTGCTTGTATCAATCAGGAATTAATAATTTGATTAATTATACAGATGGTGACAGGCGGCAGCGGTAGTGCCAGCAGTAGCGATCCAGCAGCTGGTGCTCCAGAGCCCGGACCCCAACAAGAAGCAGTACCCGGACCTGTGACCAGGTTGTTCGTTATTGCGAATAGGGGTATCTCCAACCTGATCCAGGATCTCATTCTTGTAAGTAGATTTTCTATCAGATATTTTTTCTTTTCAATTGTATTTTAATTTTAAAAGTAATGATCGCAACGTATTCCAAAGTATTTTTTTCCATTTTATTATAATAGCAGATGACATTAAATGCATTCACCTTGTATTTTATATAAACGCTGAAATTAAGTAATTCAAGTAAAATCTGCGTAATAATTCTAAGAATGAAATTGAAATTTTCTAAATAAGTCATCTTAGAAGTAGCGATGCGTTTTATGCTGCGACGTGCAAATTACATAAACATTGCGCAAAATGCTGACGAAAAGTTTAATATCATGAACATTTTTGCCCCTCAACACGTAAACTCCTGCCTCGGTCAGATTGCGAAAATGTGAGATACTAAATGTTCGCTTTAGACACTCGCGGTTGAACTTTATTCGCCAGCTAGTATATGATAACGACCAGAAACGAAAGTGAACCAGCTTGCACATATCGAGCGTACAATTAACGCACGCCCGTTATTGTTTAATAATGGCGTGTCATAAATGTACAATCCAAAAACCAATCCAGCGAAGAAAGAGAATTGCACTCTCGTGGGTCAAAAAGCGAAGGCCGTGTGTACGTGTGCGTGGTTGAAACGTGTCCTTCCCTCTCACTTTTCGGCGCGCACGCACTAGCCTTTATAATCGAGAGTAGCCGGATTTCGACTGATATACCTACACACACACACACACACACACACACATACACGCATACACTCATACACACACACACACTCTCTCCCGCGAAAAATTGCATAAGTCCGACAGCAGCGCGCTTGAAAGCAAAAATATATATCCGAGCGCGATACCTTACTTTCTCTATGAAATAGCCAATACAGCGGTCGCTTTGCTTATGCAAGAGAGCAAGAGAGAGAGAGAGAGAGAGAATTCAGACATCTTGCCTTCATATTTTTTTCTTTCTTTTTCTTATTGTTTTAGACTGATTATCAATGTTGGTTATTCTGCGATTATGTGTTTTGTTCGCTAAAATTTTACGAGGGCGCCGTTGTCGTATACAAGCTGTTATTATATTTTGGTCGATAACGTATCTATTATAATGGAGTCTATGTTTCAATTGGTAAAAGCTTGATTTTACGAGATGCTTTGTTTTTGCGCGAGCGATAACTTTATACAATTTACCTCTTTCTTTTTACTTCATTAAACGATGCAATTAAGGCGCGCGCTCGCTGGAAACGAGTGCCGCTCGCGTGACGTATACAAGTATATGTACGAAAATTTTCCATGACACGGAATATGGCAGCTTTTCCCTTACAGTTTCGTCTTTTTTTGCACAACACTTTTTTCAATGTTATGTGCAACGCACTTTGTAAATATTTGCGTTGGTTGTGTAGAGCACTCCGCAGCAATTTGATGTATGTTATACGCGACAAAAATAAATAACAAAATAGGGTGACAACGCCCTGAGGAAAGTCAATCTCTGCGAAACGACTTGGATTTTTCTCTCATATCGCAACGACGCATAACCGCACTTCATAATTTCTCCTTCTAGATGCACAAACACACGTTGGCTTTTCGATTTATCTCCGAGAAATCACATTGCACTCTTTCTTCCGCGTCGGGCGTATGTGTGTGCTTGTGTACATACTTGAAAAAATGACACGTTTAGCAACGTTTAATACCGCACGTCTAATTTTCCAACAAATTGTTGACTTGCCTTGCAACATGCTAGTAGCGAAATTGATAGGGTTTAGCCGCTATCAGTCGGGTCATTACTCCGCAAAGGAATGATTATAGAGATAGATACATTGCTCCAATTACGCCTTTCTTTTGTACAGTATAACTTCTTTTTTTCGTCGCGGATGAATCTGTTCCGGCTATGATCGCGTCGAATCTAATGACTTCCTACTGTGTTCTTCTATAAGTTTCTACCTCAACGATTTTTCTGCTGTATTACAAAGCTTCTGCTTGAAACCTCGTGAAATAAAATAAGCATTCAAGCTATTACATTCGGATATAATTATAAATGTCATAATATTCAAACATATTATTTTACATTAATTTATTATCAATTTTATCGCTTTTTCTTATCTTGTTTGCTACAGAAATGCGTAATAATTGCTGAGATTTCACTCATCTAACGTCATTAGCTTTATGTCGATTAGAACCACTCATAAAAATTGAACAATCCACTTAGTTTCTTTATCAAGTCGAGTAACTGCCATGTTTTTATTGTCAAAGCTCATTTTCTAATACTTAAATCGTAGTAAAATTATGCTTGAATATTTAAATATCACTTATTTTTATTCACAATGCAAAAAACCAACTTTTGATACTATTAAAAATTTTCCCTAGATAGAAAAATATACATAATACGATAGTAGCACACAAATAACAAGCAATTTCTTTTTTAGCGTCTGGCGGCAACGAGTGAACGTATTGTCAACTTCAAAGCGCGACTCATCACCTCGATCATCTAAGACGTCCAAACTTGTCAACGAATCAATTTATCGATCTCGATAGTGAAGAGCCAAAAGATCGATGGACATCGATGAGCTAAACTAAATTTTTTCTCAACAACACCAGCATACAATGAAAAACATAAAACTAGCCTGTAGAACGTGTTGCTGCGAGAATGGGAGCAACGTGATTCCCGACTTTGCAGAATGGACCACGGGAACGACGACAGCAACGTTGCCGATGACATTACGTATTATATATCGGCGTGTCTGTGGGAGGGAAAGTCGACACTGTGACTTTTCCATGCGCGTACGCGAGAAAACGCAACGTTGCTCCTTGTGCCCGCGAGATCCAAATGCGAGTTATCAGTACGTTTATCCTTCTACTTATTCTTCTTCTTTTAGAGTGAGAGTATTGAGGACGTTCGATCCTTGGTGATTTACACTTCTTTTTCTTCTTGACTCTCCTTTTCTTTCTCATCTCTCCTCTTAAATTATGTACGAGATATATTTTTTAATTTTTCCATTACTCTAACTTGCTTTGCTATAAAACTTTTCTTTTCTACTTATCTTCCAATGAAATTATTTTGTGAATAATTTTGGAACAATCTATTTGCCATTTTATCAAAATTTTTAACTAAAAGCTTTTAATAAAATAATTTTCATTACTATTTAATACTTTTTCTTTGAAATTTGTTCTGAGTATTTTGGTATATTTATAAATCAGAGTTAGGTCGCTCAAAGTTTTAACATTTGCTTTGAAACATACTAACTACTCGGTTACCAGTGTAATTTTGAGCGATATGACTTGCGTAAAAAAACATTACACTGCGTTTTTATAAATCTTTTTCTCTAAAATGACTACGTTGTGCTGCACATAAACATGCGTGCAAACTTGTACATAGTCCCGTTTTTTGGATGCAAAATACAGTGCCAGGCGTTAATTGATATTGTCAAATAATGATGAGACGCAACGACAACATATGTTCTATAAATTGATAAGATATAAGAAAACACCGTTATGTTTATACTTCTGATACCAGTGACAATCAGCTTATTTGTACACGACGGTGTTGATTTTTTGCAAAGCTAAGCTAAAAATACAGTTATATTTCGTTTGACATCCAACGAATAAAAGATGAAAAACCTCTTGATTACTTACGTTCTTAAAAGGTGTCAACATCTTTGTATCAAGATATATCAAATACATCTTATTATTATAGGAATTCAGTTGTCAATAAAATATCTATATTTTTACGAAATTCATATGAATGATCTGTTTACGAATGTAACAGAAAGCCATGAGAGTTGTAATTGAATGATTGAAACGTCAAATTATTGTGCTCGAAACTTGCCCCGAAAAAAAATGTCAAACTCATCACCACTTATCTTGCTTTTTGTAAATAGAGCAAGTGAGTGACTAAAAATAGGTGTTTGTTTGTTCCTTGTTTTTTTATATATTGTGGAATGAAGGACGGGTTTTCTTAGAAGATATCGCTTCGAGTGATACCAAGAATCGAAAGATAATCTTGTATGAAATGTTACTTGATGTAAATCGACTTTGTTATTTTGTAGTGTAAATAAATTTTATTATAATACAAAAATAATCTGGTTTTTCCTTGCAAATAAAGTACATTATATGATTTCTCAATCTCGAAATAACAAAATGTTGTCCAACTTCATCATCACTATGACCTTAGCTAGCTTCTTTATCCTTCATTGATGTTATAGGAACCAGCTTCTCTTGATCAAGTACGCTCATGTAGACTAAATCGCCGGAATACAATGAAATTATGCCTTCGATATAGTTCATATGGATATCAATATCGGCATATCCGTCTGGTATTTGTTGGATCAGTGACTGTTCGGTAAAAATTATCAAGTTTTTATGAAACTTTCGTGTTTATCAACATTCAAATAGGTTTAAATAGTAACATATTTGTGTGAATACATTATGAATTGTAATTATTGAATATTAAGATTACCTTAGTATTTGATAATGCAAAGTCTATTACTACTTAAAAATTATAAAATTACAAAAATTTAGCTTTTTCGTTTTTAACTCCATATTTAAAACAAATATTATTATTAGGTAATAATATTTAAGATCGGTCTATAAAAAAAGAAATTTTCGTTCAATTCTTAATGAATAATTTTTGGATATTAATAAAAATTATTGAAACAAAACTAAGAAGACTACAATTAAAAAGTACCAAGAACACAAAATCATCGTACTTTTGTGTATTTTCTATCTTTTCATTTATTCTTGTAACAAGAAAATGATGATAAAGTTATTTGTAGAGTAGGTAAACTAGTACATACCCAAATATCAATAAGCATTGTCATTTACTGTATCAATACACATTATTATTACATTAATTACTTATGTGATATTTTATAGTAAAAAAAGTTTCATTTTTTAAATAAAAATTTCTTACGTTGAGTATACTTTCTCTAAAATAAAAAAATCTGTTTTTAAATTGAGAAAAAACATTAACATACAATTTTCGTGTATCAGTCATAGCATATAATAGTCATTAAAAAATAAATATCCCGTTTTAATATAATGCATATCCAATACAAACTGTGCTTAATCAAAATTACTAGTTTAAATTTACAAATAAAAAATAAACATATAAGAACATCATCCTGCTTAATAAACCATAAAGTAATTATTCCTTTCAAACATTTAATAAAAAATTCAACATTCTAAGCGCTTATGATATTATCATAAGTTTTAAAAAGATTACGTCAATAAACTCTCACCCGTGACAAACATCAGCAGAACAATCTCTCTTCAAAATCTTAACACATGCATATATACGTGCGTATCATTGGCCGTTGTTACACTGACCGTTGCAATACAACTCGATGGCAGCAGCATAAAGTTCTTTCGTTTCAATTCAACTTTACTTTTCTCTCTTTTTTATTATTAACTTATTACCTTCTCCCTTGTTGCTGCCGTAGCCGTGTTATATATTTTTTTAAAGTACATACTAACCGACTTTTGACAGTATTTTTAGCGCATACAAATTTTAAATATTGATGATTTTATATAATCTTATATGCAAGGCATTTTACACATTAAATATCAAATGAATTCATGTTTATCACAATTGTAATTTATATCACAATTTTGATTGTAATTTATTAGTTGATTCTTACATTTGGTATTAAGATGCATCCAGCAGTTAGTAAGTGCACTGTATAAAAACGTTTGGCACCTTCGATAAGGCTATGGTATTTCGTACAGAAATCTTTCAGACATCGATTACAATTTAAATGAAATTGCAAATTTAGAGTTTTGATAACAATAGCTACATTAAAACTTTTTAAGAATTGCAGATCTAACACGTGCTCATATAAAAAGGCTTTAAAACTATACATTACGTTTTATAATAATATTTAATAAAAAAGTTAATTTTCTATCATTTCATTCATTCATCCATCACCTATTATTCACATATTGTATACTCGACTGCAGTCGTGTAGATCAAAATACCTTAAATTTTGATTAGCTCGCAGTGCACAAGAAACTCAAGTGTACAGTCTTTTACATGAAAACGTAATTATACAAATATTTAAAAAAAGATCTTTAAATACAATTTTATTAGAACATTGACAGTTCCAACGAAGGTAGATGCTTAAACAGCCATGTTCGTTGATATGTCTGTGTACAGATTAACGTCGTTACTGCTTCCCTCGTTTCAATTAAACAGTCCAATTGTTTTTTAGTATGCACTTGTGGTTTTTTTCTCTGTTGATAACTTCAGTTAATCTATGAAAAGATCGTCTTCATCATAACAGGAGCCCCAGCGATGATGCTATGGTGGCGATATAAGAACGGGGTGCTCTTGATCGGGTACACTTACATAGACGGGGTCACCCAATCGTACAATAGCTTTAGGACCTCGTAAGCCCAGATGGATACCCATGACTGGACTGTCTCCCGTGTATTTTCGATACAATGGATCGGTGATCGTTCGGTACCTGATAAATTAATAAATTAACTTTTAAATTTATCAATTTTTTAAGCTAACGAACATCACGTTAAATACATACGTTTGTATTTTCGATATTTGAAAATATTCATATTTTATATAAAGTCATTTTTAAATCTTAAAATAAGCATGTACTTTTTAAATTGCCTATCTGCAATAAATAAAAAAAGTAAAAAAAAATCATTTACTTCTTAAATCCAACATGTATTTCTCCTTAAATTAACTTCAAAAAGAGATAAATAGAAAAAGAGATCTCGGAAAATCTCACGGAATACATGTACAATAATCAGTACAATCACGCAACTTACTTTCTCATAGTCTTTAGCGGCTCGAAGTTGAGATTTTTCTGTCCGGTCTCTGGTTGTACAGTTGTAAAAATGCACCTTGTGCACGGTTTCACGTTGCGGAAATACACGTTGCCAATCTTGACCCAATCCCAGGCATCCTCCTCGTATGGCTCGGCACCTTTCACGACGAAATTGCACCTAAAATTTTGTGGTACTACTGGCTCATCAATCCTACTATTTAAATCTGCAATTGAGGCCTCGTTTTCTAGTGTATAACTTGTAGCATCTGGATAGGCACCCTGCACAATAAAATTTAATCAGTAAAGAAAATAATGCATTTATCAAATTGACCTTTTGGCTAATTTATTTTTCATTTCGGATTAGAAACCTTTGGTATGTTGAAGTAAAATTAGAAAGAATAACTAAGAATTTTTTTATCGTACAATTTAAATTCATAAATTGATGGAGGAAACAAATAATCGTACATATAGTTATTGAATCAAAAATCACTGTCTTATGCACGTGAGAAAAAAAGTAAATTCTCACAGAAAGCATCTCACACGTCTGTATGTAATTACACGTAAATTCTCACCGAGTGCAATAATTACTATAATTATTTCATTACGTTATTTCTTCCCACATAATAAAATTATTTTATATTTCAAATTTTAATCTACTTTTCAAACTATAAAAAAAGTATTAACTAAATCAATAATTTCATTATATAACGATTTTCCATGAAGTATTTTCAAAATAATTCACTCATGTGCATTGTCATAACATTAATTACTTACGGTGTCCTCACTTATAGTAAGCGGGAAACCATCGTTCTTGCTACGCACTTTCCGTGATGGTTTGTCTAGAGGATAATATACAAGTCTTAGTCCTCTGTCCTCCTGAAGTAAAAAACGGGAGAGCCAACGTGCTACCTCCTCACCACAATCGCAAGCAGCTACTGCTTGTCCCCAAACTGATGCCCGAAAACGGCCCATCAGTCTAGCAAGATCTACTGATATGGACATCATTCCAGGTGCTTTTAGCGTTAAAATTGAACCGGCCATACTTGGTATTATCTGTAAAGTCAAATTAATCATTGAGAATTCCATTAGTGAATGATTAACGTATTAATGTCTAACTGTATAATCTTAATTTAATTTCAAGGCATAATTCTCTTGAAAAGAGTATTGTTATTAAATAATAACGTAACAACGCAAATCAACTTGAAAAGTTACCGTTATCGAAAAGGCAGTTTACCATCTGTTATGCGGTCAACCGGCAAATACAGAAAAAAACATCACTGCAAAAAAACTCTACGCCATAGCACTACACGAAGCATCGCAAATGCTCTTAAGCCAGCAGCCCGTAAAAGCACCTGTTCTTCTCGAGAAGAATGGCCGGACGACTATGATTACCATGCGCATCAATCTGATCTGCCCCGTTGGAAACACTCTGATTTCCAAGTTTGTTCGAAATTCTAATAGGACTCTTAATTACCGATAAAATCTCTGGATATTCTAGAGAATGCTCGTTTTCAGTCGGACGAATAGTTTTACTCTGAATATTTCTAAACTGTCGTTTATCCAATTTTGAATGAATTATCTATTCAATCAACAAAAATTCCCAAATCCGAAGCTATTTTAATATAGAAGTTGCAATAAAAAGAGTAAATAATATATACTTTTAAGTTAAAAATAATAAAAATTTTAATAAACACACTAAATAAATTACGAACAACTCACCTGAACCATTCTTGGATATTGTCTACCAGTAACGAATTGTCCATCAAGGTCAATTACCATCAGTGTTCTGTCCCTCATCCACCCGAATTTCAATCCTAACTGCGTACATTCAAACTCATTTAGCCTTACTGGTCCAAGAGACTTGACGGGGAAACAGATGAGATCACTGAGCTCGCCAACTTTCCGCCACTTTAAAGGTGGCCGCTCACGCTGACGTTTCGACCACCACCACCAAACGAGGAAAACTGCCGTACCAGCACCCACCACTATCGCACTCACGTACGCCGCCCGATCTATAAATATAGTATTTATAAATCATATTTCAGCAATGGATTTCTCATAATCATTTTTAAGTCATTTCGTGAAAAATGATAATATATACATATATGCTATGTTATTTTTACTTTCATTGATTGATTTTTAATGAATATCTGTCCAATTAACTTTATTCTGATATTTCGTGTTACAAAAGAATTTACACTGAAATAAGAAAGTTTACATGCCGTTCTGTAAGAACGACAGAGTCTTCGAAGAAAAATTTAGAGTTAACGAACCAGTTGGAGAGTAAAATTTAAAAATATTCCATAATTTTGTTGCCCATAATATACATGTAATAAATGCATTTTACTGTATTCGAATCTTAAAAATGTCTTTTTAATTGACATTGTAATATCGATAGCTCCTGATTTAAGAATAAAGTATAGTAGATATAGTAGCTGATTTGCTTTTAGTCTAATGGTCGAAGTTGAAAACTATTTATAGACAATGCATGCTGCTACCTTATCTAGCTGTGAAGAGCTGCCTACATAAAGTGCTAATTTCGTTTGAATTCTAATAAGCAACTCTCACGTGTTAAAATGATGGTATAGAAAAGACAAGCTAATGAAAAAATAAAACGAACGAAGGAGTAAAATAAAAAGGCTTCCCTAGAACTTAATTTCATGATATCTGTTTTAAACCATCAGCTAATAAAAGTTCTTTTAGATACGATTGTTTGTATAATAGATAAACTGAATCACACTCGCATGTTTGAGTTTGAAATATTTCACCATTTATTTTATCTTTTTTATTAAAAAATATTATTGCATTCACTTCAATTTGTTCGTAGTTATTGTAACTTACTTTTATATATTAATGAAATGCATGTGTGAGGCCTTCAATTTTCGTATAAGTTAACTCTGTTTCCGATTGGAGAGTTTATTGCAACTTCAATAATTAGCTTTCGAAAATCATGTTTTTGTGAAACGAAATTTTTCTTTAATAGAAAATTAAGTCACGCCGCTTAGTCACTGAAATTAGATACTTGTCAGGAAACGAAAAATTCATAATAATACATGTACAACCGTGAGTGAAACCGATCGCTTTCCAGATGTATGAATTATAGAGTCGCGATGTTCATGCTTTATGGAGCGAAGAAGAATGTTGAGGAAACTATCATTTTCCTGCGACGTTGCTTTAATTTTTGCTTTTTTACGGGATGATCGAAAGTACTATGTGCAACATGTGTTTGAGAAACTATGTTATTTATTCAATATGAAATTTTTCAATGAACAAAATTTTTAAATTGAAAAAGCTACTGTTTACGATGTTATACTATATTTCTATTTCAATAATTATTAATTAGAAAAAAATTGAAACGAAATAATTTTTCTACTCTCATGGAGATTTAATAATTTATCACATTTATCATTAAAATATTAAGCACTTTATCAACTCATTAAAAGACGAACATGTTTCTTCCGGCGAATTGTGTAAGCCTAAAATCTATCTCATTTGAAAATAAATTATGTCGAAATAAAACTACATGTAATATAAAGAAATAAATTTCATTTTATGAATTAATTAACTGAACAATTATGAAGCACTATTGAAATTCTTATTAAATACTTATGTAGATAAGTTCAAAAATAAATAAACTCTCACCCATAACGAACAGAAGCCAAAAACAGATATTCGTAAGCTTAACTCATGCGCATGTGTGTACGGTTAGAACGCCGGCAGATAGAACACTGATTGACGCAGCGAAATCTCTGTAGCAGAAGCACAAAACTTGTTCAAGTTGTCTTTCTCTCACGATTCTCCTTCCCGTGAAACTTTATTTCTCCTACTTCTTTTCTTTCCAATCAGCTCCTCCTTCCTATTCGTTTAGCTGCTTGTTTTCTTTGCAGTAACAGGAACGAAACAGCCGTTCCTTACACTACGTCAGGTACGTTCTGTGTACGGTACTTCTGACTCCCGAACATAGAAACTCATGCGTATATATGCATGTAGATGAGAGATATTTGCGCAGGCGTCGTACGATCGATTTTTTTGTTGGTTTTCGTTTCAAAGCAGCGTTTCGTTTAACCCTCTTCCAAGATAAAGGAACTAGACAAATAATTAAAAAAAAACATATATGCTTTAAAAGGTTCGAGGCATCCCTGCAATCAAATTTGCCATTTGTTTTGCAAAATTACAGTATATAGAACAAAAACTGTGGAAATTAATAATAATTAAATAAAAAGAAAAAAAAGAAATAAAGAAAGAATAAAACGGAGCACTTCAAAGTCCAAACTTCCACAGTCACTTGATGTAATTTATCTAAGTAAACGTGTTATTGAAACTAATTAAGTATTAAACTATTTTATTTGGTATCTATTCTCTTTATATTGATAATTTGTTTACGACATAATATATTTGAATAAATAAAATATATTTTTTTCATACGTATTTTTTCTGTAAAATCCGATTCCGGCATTTATTTTACAATAAAACTCAATTTTACAATAATTTGTATATACAACTTGTTTTTACAACCAATCGCAAATTTTTAATTCTGTGCATCAAAAAACCTCTTAATTAAAACCTGTTTTTTATTCACATTCTTATGGCCGTAAAAGGATTTATATTTATTTTTAATTATTTTTTATAGCAAAGTAATTATCTAATAATTTTGTAATAACGATATAAATTTTTACAATAAAAACTATTATATCAGACGTATTTTGTTCCTTAGTATACGATTCTATTATTAATTTTTCAAAACTAATGGTAAATTTCAGTTCAAGGATGTCCCGAACCATTAAGTCACATAGTTTATCTGTACCGTAGCCTAATTCCTTCTGCCTGGAAAAGGATTAACAGAAAATCTACTATGGTAGATTCGTTTATAATGATCCAAGAGAGCTTTATAACTAAAATAAAATCACATTTTCCATTTTGGACAACTTTTAGCATGATAGACTTATATGTCTGGAAATGAGGAGAAAATATTCAAAATCATCAGAATCTTAGATTAATCATATTATTTTTTACACAGCATCTCAATATCTTTATATATACTTATATATTTATATATACTTGTAAATTATATTCCAATGTAAGAGCTTAAAAATCTAACTCTGGAAAATGTGTCATCGATTTTACCGGTTCATTCATAAATATGCAAGTATAAGCCGTAGCATTTCATTTGAATACAAACATATTTTCCATATGCCGCACTTAATGGAGCATCCGTAACATGCAGTTCCTCGCAAGCATTAAGAAAGTTGGTTAATAAGGAATATTTATGATTCCAACACAGATGCTGTGCATTTGAAAGAATAATTAATAAGTTCCGCCAATACTTATAAAATTGAATGGATTTTTCAAGACGTTTAAAATTTTGTACTTCTTTTGGGAAATATTGCAAAATTTAGAAATGCTTGAGTCATGTATTAATCCCGATAGTTACGTTTAAAGTATATAAAGAAAAAAATCGTATTAAGACGTCACGGAAATGCTGCTGCACGGTAAACCCCCTGTACAATATCGAGTGGTTTTAATGTTATTATATCGGACAATTTCATAGACTCTAAATTTAATTTATTTGAACTTACGTTATTTGCATATAATTATATTTCATTTATATTGTTCACCGACATTCATTCATGATTCACTCATGGTATTCAATTAAAGTAATTCTACGAAAGGCAGTGCCTCGCTGAGTCGTTGAGATGATGTCGATTTCTCTCTTTGTGCCCTACAGTCCACTCTAGTAGTTTACGCGTTTCTCGTGGTCTCCTCATGGTTAACATGTGTTACCCCGACGGCGCATAAGCCACACAACTGAGCCACGATCACGTTATCGTGACTATCGCCTATGTTTTGGTTCGACGCTCGTCTCATTTTTTCGCTTTTCTTTTTTTTATTGCTTTTAAGATTAAGAGTGACGAGAGTGGCAAGAGTCGGCGGTCAGTTTTCTGAGAGCCTTCGATGAGCTTATACGCTCTCAGTTGTATCCTCCGTCAATTCATGAAATAAAACCTGATCATTCTGTCTTTAAATTCATCAAATTTTCCTATCAAATCACCTTTCGTACTGAATTAATTTTCATACGAAAAGCACAGACACTGTGCCAAAGAAACACCCCCATTGTAATTATACTCAAATAAAAATTTCAGAATAATTATTGCCATCTCGAATTAAGGTTTTATATTCCAGTTATTTTCATAAAAACAAAAATTTTGACCAAGATCGCTTCAATTCCTCGTTGAAGTATTTAGTCTGTTTACGTCTATTTTTAAATATTAATATTTGTGAAATTCTTCCGTCCATGCGGAGGTTTTTACGTCGACTACTTAACATTATTTTTCGTTTATCTAATAACCTTATATCATTTCTGTTTATTTAAGCTATTTCCACAACACTTCACGCCTTCAACATGGATGATATGAAGTTTCATACGAGTTTTGCGTGCATTTTTGTTTGATTTAGAAATTGAATAAATGAAATGCAAATTGTTAGAATTTAGAAGTATGCATAATTTCATTTACTTTTATATATTATTTCATGAAAGTGTATTCAGATGCTCTAGTATTATTATCTTGAAATAAAATTTATAAATGCAGAAATTATGGACTGTTTGGGATATGAGGAATTGAGAGACAGTGATTTGGAAATAACAATCAAATTTATTTCAAATACAAAAAAATGAGGCACTTGCTTTATTAGCGCTAGAGCTGATCTGAACATGAGCATACATTATACGAGCAGAGCTGCTGAAAATCTATGTGAAAATATATGTGAGCAGCTTAAACTTGATAATCAAAATAAGGTGACTGAAAGTAAGTGACAATTAAAACTCTCTCTATGTTCGACTCAATTAATTCAGCAGCTCATCTCGTCATAACGCGTACTCAATATATAAATTCTGCTTAAATTAATTCTCGTTAATGATAAACTTATCAACTAATGAATTATACGCTATAAATAATCGTAATCTGACTTAATATTCTAATAACAAGTGTATAATATACTTAAACAAGTAATATAATCAATATAAACAATAATATAATGCAACATTCAATGTGTGTATAATCATAACATCACTTAAATTTCCCGCGAAAAAGCACTCAACCCTAGCGCTACTATTCGGAATATGTAGGAACTTTACAGATCTACGCACTCACCAGACTAGCATTGCAGCAGTAGCTATTGAAAGTGTCGAATGTAAGAGTTTTTTTGTAACAAATAAGAAATGGGTGTTTAAATTGGGGTTTTCCACATCATTCAAACTCAAATCTATCATTTATCGAGAATACGCATCTACCAATGCAATTTTACAAAGTAAACTGGCATAGATTGATCAAATCGGACGTGTAAATCATAAATATATCGCAGTATCATTCGATTGTTGTGACTTAACATCAGTCGTGATATTCAAGGTGAGTCACGTATTTTATTCATAACGATGGTATGGTGGTCTTGCATTGAGTATAATCTGTTGCAATCAATAAAAATAATATAATTGCAACTATTCTTAGAATAATCTTCCAATTCACTTAAAAATTATTAGGTTAGAACGTTTATTATTGTGTGTAATTATTATTAATGACGTCACTTTAGAATTGACGTTTTTTGTTATAGAATTCCTTGTAGTTTCTGTTATATTTAGTAAGAGATAGAAAAAACAATTACTTTGTAATGATTCTGTATAAATCCCCTTTACCTATTTGAATATTATTCTCCAAAGAGATAATATTGTAATGACTTAATGAAGTTTAGTCTTAAAAAGAGCTTTGATGTGGACATTTTGTATATATAGAATAAAAAAAATTATGAAAACTTTTCAATTTAAAAAAATTCAAATTTGCTTAACCAATGGATAAAAAGACTATATCTTCCATTGTAAACATTTTTATCACCTACTTAAAAATAACTTGTCAAATGATAATTTACACTTTGTCAATATCAAGAATAAGCTAAAATAATTTTACTTTCCAGCTGCAACAATGCCAATCTTGTATAGTGTTGTTGCAAGAGGACCAACGGTACTTGCAAAACATGCTGCTTGTGCTGGAAATTTCGAAGAAGTCACAGAGCAAATCCTTGCAAAAATACCTCCTCAGAATGATAAAATGACATATTCACAAGGTCCCTATTTATTTCACTATGTGTGCGATGAGCGAATCGTTTACATGTGTATAACTGATGATGTAAGTTCAATATCTATAGAAAAAGTGAATGAAATGCATTGAGCATAGTCATTAAAAAATGAATACATTTGGTTATATAATTGGAATGTTATGTTCAAACTATTTTTCATATTAGCTACATTCTATTAAATTTCTTTCTTTTCGTTACTATTTATCTACTTTGCATCACTATTGTTACAAAATACAGAGTCTATGAAAATAATAACCATATACCTGCATACAAGCTTATAGCTATCAATTGTAGATAAATCACACTTGTCTTTTATGCTCAATGAACCTTAAACTTAATACATTATATAAGATTATTTACTAATATTAGGATGCTTTATAAATTAAAATATTAACTTATTGGTTGTTTATGTTCTTAGGACTTTCAAAGATCAAGAGCATTTCTTTACTTAAATGAAATCAAAAGAAGGTTCCGCACAATGTATGGAGATGGGGCACAGACTGCATTAGCTTATTCTATGAATACTGAATTTGGCAGAATCATTGCTAATGAGATGGTGTGTAGAATCTTATTGAAAGCGATAAAAACTGTATTTTCATTAGTTTGTTGTTATTATTAATTGTTTTAAATGTTTTTAGAAACATTACAGTGAATCAAAAGACTTAGACACCATATCAAAAGTCCATGGAGAGCTAGATGAACTCAAAGATATAATGGTAAAAAACATCGATAATTTGGCAATGAGAGGAGAACGTTTAGAATTACTTGTCAATAAAACAGAAAACTTGACCAATAACGTAAGTTGATAAAAAACACACGGTCAACAACTCACTAAACTACATTGAACTTTGTTACATTGTTATTTTTAGTCTGTGACATTCCGAAAATCCAGTCGTAATCTCGCGCGATTGCTATTCTGGAAAAATGTAAAGATGTATGTTATCATCGGCGTTGTTTTAATCGTGAGTATTGAAAAATAATTCTACATTAATCTCATATTTATTGAAAACTAACTTGTAATAATAATTCATAATTTCAGTTTATTATTTACGTTATTCTGGCAATATCTTGCGGTGGATTGGGATTACCGAAATGCGTTTCAAACTCTTAAATTGTTTGATCCTGATCGACGTCTTCACAACAAAAGTTCACAACCATAAATTGTATGGCCAAATGATTTTTTCACTATTCTAAGAAGAAACTATATTAATCACATAAAGTTTTATAGACTACGCGGACATCTATTATTCCAAGGACAAAAGAACTTGTAAATATGTTATTATTCTGCGTGTAGGAATAAGAAAATCCGTATGTGTTAAGAATTTTTGCTGATTAATGCCGATATCAGTTAGATCGTCGAAGTTAACGAATATCCGCCGAATACACCACTATAGCGCATATGGATTGTTATTATTTTTGATTATGTATAGAATACATTTAATTGTTAAAGATAAGTTAATCAATTTATTATACTATTATCCAAGCTTTTGTTTCGATAAACTTTTTAAAAACCTACATCTACTTCTGGAAGTGAATGTAATTTTTTTTTCTGACACTACTACTATTAAAGATAAAAATATATCAATTGTCTCGAATTAACTTTTTCGCATACCTACAGCAATAGATAAAAGAGAAGAAAACAAAGGGATGGACGATCTAAAAGAGATCGGCACCAATTTATCGTACCGCCTTTACACGCCATTAGCCGTCCGTACAGTCGATACACACAACTCTCAAAGAGCTAAGCTGACGCATGCCTACAGATGCTTTTTACAGCTGAGACTGTACTCCCAGGTCTGTGCGATGAATTTAAAAAACCCTGCATCTTACATTCATTTAAATTAACTAAATTCTATTAAAACAACTTTCTAGCGTAATAAAACATTTGCATTCGTTTCAATTCTCGACAATTATTTTAATATTAAAAGCGTAGCATCTGGTCTAGCATAATCATTTTCTTGTTTTCTACAAATAATAATTCGAAATTTTTATGAAAGTGTTCTTTTAAAATTAAAACGCAAAAATGTAAAAATGTTCCTTTTTATAGCCTATACCTCCGATATTCCCTATAACGATACGAAAGAAAATCAATTCCTATCAGCGTTGAATGCTGTACAAAATCAAAGGCGAAGACAACACTAACAAAAAATAAGCTTTACCAATACTCCGGTCGGATTTTCAGTGACGCGCGCATAGCTGGACAACACAACGGTGCACACTGTAAAAAACGTAACAGCAGAAAAAAAAAGACGAGCTTCGTACCGCGTCTACTACGCCTGTGCTTCGTAATTTATGCCGAGGCGGCACTGTCTGCCGGCTTTATAAGCTTGAATTGCAAATCTCAAAGTTCTTCCGCGTGTTCTTGTACATTATTTTTCTTTTCTTTTGAAGCTCCCTGTTTTCAAAGTATTGTTTAGTATGTAAAAGCCTCAGTTTTCCAGGGTTGCTGATAAGTTAACGAGTAGCAAGTTGAAGAGGGCAGCCTTTTATGTCTTTGGATAAAGAATTCGCTTGTCCCGTTGATTTAGTTAATTGTACGGAGGTCGAGAAAAGGGAAACGTTTATGGTCCATCAAAGACACATTTACCAGATAAATAGCACTTCGTTTAATCGAGCCTCTACCTATGAAATTTCTACGTGCCTTTTGTTCATCTTTCAGCCCTTATTATCTCAAACTCCTCTTCAGCAAGTCTCAAGTTTGTAAAAGTGCTACCCTCTATGCCATCGAAGGGTTTATACTTAGAAGACATCAAAGTCGAAGTTTAAGTAAGAAAGCACGACAGTAAAGACTCTTTAATAAATTCTCAAAGTGAGCCTTGCTTTTACAGTCTGACGTATTAGACTTGTATCCACAGTCGTGAAAAATGATTACAATTTGCTCGCAAATCTTCAAATGATTCCAAATAAAAGGAAAACAAAGAGCCAGTATCACCTGTAACTGCGACCCTGCATAACATTGACCCTTCGTCGGAGCGCCATCTCGAAGCACATCCCTGAGGGTGTGCAAGCCATACACGCGCAGCAGCAGAGCGGCGGCGGCGGTGGTGGCGGCGGCGGCATCAGCATCTCTCGGCGGCCGTTACTCTCGTGGGGGTGTGTTTCCGTAGCAGAGGGGATGCGAAAATATCGGCGCGAGACGCCCGGGACACATTCGGGCCTCGCTCGCTCGCCGGCCGACACCGTAATCATGTCGCTGCCGCTCTGCTCCGCAACAAGTCTTCCTTCTTGACTCGTATACGTTCGCTCGCTGCTCCGCTCCTTCTCTTCTCGTCACGGATTCGTGTGCTCAATTTTTTTTTTCTTTTTCCAAGCCGAAGAACAAGACTCACTACTAGTGTGGCACACAAGCACGCACACGAGGTATGTACTATAATGGCGTGTATAGTGGGCGGGATGCTGCGGAGAGAGGGTTGCTCTTTCCTTCGCGCGCTCTTTCGCGTGATCGATAGCTCGACTTCTATTTATTTATTTTTTTTTTCATCAGTAAATTGCTTTCTCGGTCAACGTATCTTCGTTGCTTTCATGCGAGCGGACGCTGTGCGGTTCGTCGCATAAATGGTAATTGACAGGTGTGACACTTCGTTGCTTTTTCCTTTACACGTATCTTCATCGAAAATTAGACTTTTAATGAGATTTTCAAAAGCGTCGGCGCGACTGCTTTGACGCGGAATTGAAAGCTTTATCGGTTTGAAAGGGTTGCTCGTTAGAACGTCCCATCAGTTATTATAAACGTACTCGCGTACAAGTAATCGAAATCCGATATATATTTAATGATATAAGCTACGATTCTGCGAATGTATCGAATATCAGTTGAACTTTCGACCGTCGAGTGAAAATAACCAAAATAGCAGTTGTCGAAGGAAAGAAACGGTTTTTAGTGATTGCGGAGGCTTTGTTGAGCGAACTCTCTCCAATACAGTGCGAAATGTGTAGCAGCAATACATGCAGGAAAATTCATTAAACTATAACTCGCGCGTCCGATTGGTAAGGACGATAGCATTGATTGGCATTTCACTTGGCTTGGCGCAATGTGTTTTATCCTCTATGCGCCGGTGGTACAAGTTACGGCGCACGTATAGCTGAATGACTGAGAAAGAAAAGATCCTTTGTCCATTCGAGGCTATACGCTTGCTTCGCATTTTCGTTATCATTGTTTTTACGCTACGGGGCCACTGGCATTACTAGAAAAATCCTCCCTCTCGCCCTTCATTCGCACAATGACGTCCTAGTTCACTTGCACCAGATTGCTGCTTGCCATTCTCCATTCGAAATATTGGCTTTTTTTCTGCTATGTATTGTTTTATTTGTGCTCGTAGCCTCCTTTCCAGTCCTTGTGTAGGTTTGCTTATTAATCTATTTGCGAGGGCGAACAATCGACGAGAGTTTATTGATCGATGGCTTTTCTAAAACTAGTTAAAAACGAGTCTTTGCTTTCGGAGTTCGATTGAACTGTACTGCCGTGAAAAGCACATGGACTGCCAACGCCTTCATGTCATTCACTCCGCTAAACGAAATCCGATAATTAAGTAAGTCTGCACACATACGACGTCGCGCTAGAAGCAGTTTGCTCAACAGGCGTGCAACCTAATGATCGGCTTACGAGAAAACAAGAGCTTCGCGAATTTAGCCGCGCGAAGCACTGCTCTTCTTCGTATTTCAATAAAGTAAGGGATATATTCGAGCAAGACGTTCGAGCTGTGAATTGTCAACGAACGGTAATATTGTTTTTAAAAAGAAAAAAAAAACAACTGCGATGACCGCTGAGAAAGGTGGCGACGTTAATGTCGCTCCCTTTTGAAGAACGAGCGGAACAGTCAAGTTGTCTACGACAAAGCCGTGACGAGCGCACTCAAGTCGAAAGTGGCTTCATCTTTGTCGGGCACTCAACCTACAAAGCAATGAGCGGTTGGTTAGTCTAGAACAGTGAGGCAAAAATTGATGAAATCAGCGAAGTAAACAGGGGGCGAGGGATGGTTGTCGTCGTGGCGCGCGCGAACGAGACATGTAATGCGATTTATCGCGGGTACACGGCCACGAGAGAGGAATGACGAAGCGTCAAGCTCGTTAGGAGGTGTCTGCAAACTGCCGAACCATTATCGGGCGTTTTGTTATTTCAGCTCGATCGCCGCGATTTTCGATTCGCAATGCTTTGCAAGCGCGCATTTTCCTCGGGAATCCATTTTGCGGGAATAACTGCGCCTGACAAGGAAAATAACCGGGTCCTCATTATCCGCGCCAAAGGCTAAAACCGTCGGGCAGGAATGAAGTCAGCCGCGGGCGAACAAAGAAAAGCCCATGAGGCGCGTAATAAAAATCAGCCTCACCCACCCCACGACGCGACGCCGCATTTTCCAAACTGACTGCGCGCGCGTGTGCGTGTGCTTACGTGTGCGCGCGCTCGACAAAAGAAAAGCCCGTCTCTGCCGTTATACGCGTCTCCCCAATAACCCCGATTCTCAACTGCAAGCTGCAGCTGGGGAGACATTACTCTGAGCGTAATAAAAGCCGAGGGCTGATTACTAGGGAGCTTTCGCATCCCGTGCATGCTGAATATAAGTTCTTTCTTCGTTTCGGCTCCCAAGTTAAATTGCCTTCATCTGGTGCGTCCTATACATCTATAAGTCGATTTACGAGGCAAGGGAGATGAATTTTTGTTCTTAGGATGAGGAAAATTCGTAACGGTATGTGTAGAAGTCGTCCATGTGGTGGCTCTGAAAGCTTCTTAGATATACGAATACGCAGATTTATTTTTATTTATTTATTTCACGAGAATCAACCCTGTACTGTTTGTTTCAATGAAGAACAAGAATTTCATTTTCGTAATGCGCTTCAAGATATCTTACAAAAACACATTTTACCAAAACGTCTGTACAAAAAGCAGCAGCTAACAATTTTCTTCACGCATTTTTATTGCTATTGTATTAGTATCTACCAGAAGCTACTTGAATTATACAATTCAGATTTTCAATACGAAATTGTTCATCTCTTTTTTTATTTTCAAAGAAAACGTAATAAATTTGTAAATTATTTATATTGATATGAGATTTTTACATCGAAAATCAAGAATAGTCTTATATATGAGATCTAAAAAACAGAAATTATTTCAGAGATTCATTTTTCAGTTTTAATAAAATAAGAACCAAAAATTAATATTGATAACATTTCTTTCACAAATATACTTTAATATGATTACAGTGAACATTAAATATTATATAGATTCATTATTTCAAAATATTATTTCAAAAACTTGCAGTACTTTCAATTTAGTGACTTTTAAAACTGGCACGACAAGAATCATCTTATCGATATTAAGCATCTTCTCTGCTACGATGGATTTATTATAATGAAAGGAACCTACAGCACAGAGATTCAGGTTTCCATTTTCTAAATTTCAAGGAATGTCCTCATAATCCAAATCGCATTATGACTATCATTTTTTTCATAATGTAGAATAAGTACAATTCTATTTACATGTACTATTTACAGTACTATATTTCCTCAAAGTACTATTTCTTTATTAATTTCTCCCCGTATATAACATATTCTTATTTTCGAAGAGAAAGATGAGTATTTTGTTTCAGGGTTGAGAAGTTGTACTCAAAAGGGACGCTTGTACATGTTTTGTAACTTATCAGGATAGGTGTTTACAGTTACATTGAGCACATCTTTTCCGATCAGTTCTGTAAAATGATCATATTGTTGTATGGCATGAGATTCTCAATTGATATTCAGCAAGGAAAACTTGGTGAACTAGAAATATCATACAAACTGAAAAATAGACATTTGAGTTTGGTCGCGATGGGCCATATTTGTGCAATGAAATTCATCATCCGATACATTTTCAGCGATACATACTTATTTTGAGGCGCCATTATTACGAAAAATAAGCCCCTGTTGTAAAATACGCTGGAATATTCCATTAACTTTGCCAGCATCAATTTCCTCTGTGTCAATTATAATCCCTAGCATTGGCACGGCTACTTTCGTTAAACCAATCGTAAAATTATTGGATATCTTTCTGGTGCCACTCAAAATAATGATGTTAACATCGCGATAAAGGTTTCGGAAAAGAATGAACATCCAACTGCGCGTGGATGTTGGAAAATAATGAACAGCAATTATCAGTACTAATGCCGTCAATTTATACATTTTGCACAGTAAATTATTCCGTATACAATGTTGGGTATTCGTTACAAATTATGCCACTCTTACCCGACTACCACCAAACTTGAACTACTAAGGAATGTGGAAAATTGCTAGGCAAAGTCGGCTTCCTTCAGTGTACCTTTATAACATAATAATTCTTACTTCTGTAAACGATTCAGCTATTTCGTTAAGTGTTTTTAGCCTTTATGACTATCGGCAAAGCATTGTGCAAACTGTTACAAATATAAGAACGCGTTTTTCCGACATTCTTCACAAATAAAATATGCGAAGGATATACGCTAGTACTCTATGCAAAAAAGGAGTAGCTATTGCGAAAATTGTTATCAGTATTCTCTTTCACTTGAAAAGGAGGCTAAACGTAACAATGGCAAAAACTGGAACGTAATCGCCTCGCAAGCTTCGCCATGTCACTGTTCTCGCGTTATCCGTGATCTACAGCACTCGACAATGCACTGTATAAAAGCGCTTTCATCTTTTCAGCGTAAAGACGATGTCGAGGCAGGAAAATGCCGTACTGCAGCAGTAGCGAGCAGTCAACGGCTTATTCCAGCCGAGAGGAGCCAATGCACCCGAGAGGTATTTATCCGATGCATACTTCGATTCTTTTCCATCACCGCACAATGGATTATCCGCTCGTGCTACTTGTTTTTATCCTGCCAGCTATGCGATTGATCGTATATTCGTGAATTTCAATCGATTTAATTTAATTTCGATTTTCCAGTGCGATAATGACCTCGCAGATAACTGGGAAATTGAGGGTATTCGCCGCGATTTTGCACATTGTTATAATCTCGTGTCAGCCGGGACTCAATTAATTCATAAGCCTGATGCTACGTGTCATTTGAGGGCATTATAAAAGCTCCAAAAACTTTTTTATCGGGAAACAGTGACATCTCGTCAGCTTAGCCAAAATTAATACTTCACGAAATTTCATCAATCTTTCGTGGCGCTCGCCAAGCTTTTCCACGACGTAAGCCGCGTTCAATAAATTTCGCGCATTGAAAATTTCCTTTTATCGTCGAAAAAATGCGAGCACGGCTCATGTGTATCGAACACTTGCGAATCTCATTGTTGACCCTTTCCGACCACTAATTACTCTTACGGCCGGCCGAGCCGTTATCTATCGCGCGCAGTGTAGCACCCTTTTCGCCCTACCTCCCTCCCCCCCTCTCTCTCTCTCTCTCTCTCCGATTGACTATTTATTTTAGCCTTTTCCCCGCCCTTTTTCAATGCGTACGTGGGAATTGATTGCAACATTAAACAAAACCTTTCGCACCCCGTCTAACGCGAAACAGAGTCATTCCACGACACCTCCGACCCTTTGTTTATCTTGTTTTTTTTCACTTTCTCTCTCATCAGGCGTCGAATGTCGAATTTTCTCTTTCGCGATGTGCCCGTTGTCTGTCGTCGGCAACCACGTGTAATTACTGCCCACTGCCGACCATAGAACAATGAATCACAGCCGTTATGAAAAATAAAAAATCAGCGAGACAGAACGTGTCACGTTGCTAGGGCGGAGGGTTTTTTTTATTATTGTTTCAGCGGCTCTTTTTTTGCCGAGCGCAACGTTCGTTTGATTCAATTTTTTTCCCTTTCAACGAAGAATCTGACTGCAAGGGATGGGTACGATTCGATTGTCATGGGAGCTTGTATTTCTCAGATACTAAAACGTAGAAAAATAAACTTGTCGTAACACACGTTAAATTATAAATCATAAATTTTCAGTTAAAAAAAGCGAGTAATCATAAATAAAAGCTTTGTGAACCCGTCAACTCTCGGCCACTCGGCTCATATAAAAATTTGAGCATCACAACGAAAAGAAAATGGACGTGAATCTGACAGTCCCGCGGAATCCTAAGCTGAAACATGTACGTAGGGGCTAGTAAAACTAAATAAGACTCATAAATCTGCGTAGCGCGCGAGCGAGCATCACGTGAATTCCGTCGTTGGTGCGTATACGTGGACGCTCTATCTATGTGAGGAGGGTGCGATCCTTTGAATCATCCCTTGCGCGAGCGGATGTGGGGCAGACGATGATGACAACGGGGAGAGAAAGATGAAGTTCTTTGTAGAGGAAGAGTGAGGAGCTTCTGAATAGGCTTTTTTCTGGAAGACGAAGGATTTTAATGCCTTTCTTTTAGTAGGGTGAATTATTTGACAGGAAATCTTAAATTTGTCGTTGGAATTTGGAGCTTTTATATTTGTGTAGTTGTGTAACTGCTCTAATAGCATCGTTCTTCTTCAAATCACTTTTTCTTCGATACAAAAATGCATACACATCAATCACTAACGAAACTTAAAAAAAAAAGGATTCTCTTTAACTTTACAAACAGAGATTGATCTTCCTTAAAATTCTCAATGCGTCGTGGCTCCTGAGAACCGAGGGCTCTCATTTGAAAAAAAACGGCATACGTCGCCAGAGGAAAGCTAGAGAGTGAGCGAGAGAGAATAAAAGACTTCAGCAAAGTTAAAAGAAGACGAAAAAAATGGGCGAAAGCTCTCCGGACTTGAGTCTAAGGCTGCGGCGTGGCAGCTCCGACTCCAGGGATTCTTTCTACATGGACTTTGCTCAGGTGAGTCTGTGTTAATGCATGCGTTACTCTCGGAATTTCAATTACGGAAATGAGTCTCAGTCGTTTGCGTCTTTGTGCTGTTCGCTTCGTGGATTCGCAAGCTCGGTGAAACTTGGTCCAGTGAACATTTTCATTTCTGGCTTACAGTCCTAATTCCGAACGTGTGCACTACAAAATTACCTTGACCCGTTGATAACGTTCAAAGTTATGAGTCAAAAAGTAATTTCACTTGTAGAATTCTGAAAATGCTTGGTCGAGCTCGAGTTTACGAACGCTCGAGCCAGCTTTCCAGTTTCTGATGTATCTGAACTAACTTATATATGATTTTTTTGTTATTTTATTCTAGATATTTAATTTTTTGAGATTATTCGAGCGTTGTAGATATTTGAGATTTTCAATAACTTTTTGAAGCCTACTTATTTAGATTCGCAATAAAGACAAAATTTCAATTGATTTTCCATTACAGTTAACAATCATCATTCACTTAATACAATAGATCGAACCTCTAAGTTCCCAATCATAGATCCATGGTATCATCGTATCATACTCAATGCTTGCTACCTTCAATAAATTAGATTCGCACCCCTCTGATAAAAACCATCCCCAAATACGCGCAAGGGTACAAAAATAATCTGGCACCCCTGTGAGGTTGAGAAAACTATCTAATTTCCTGCTTAGCCTCTTAAGATTTTCATCGATCCTGATTAATGTACACAGGGCATAGACTCCGACATAGAAGAAGTAGTGAAGCCATCGGATAACTTGGACGGATTGATCAGTGATTTGCTGGACGATAGCGGTGCTGATTTACCACTAGCCGATGAAACTGATATTCCGACCATACCCGAAGAAGCATCTGAAGAGCTGAGACTTGAAGAGGAGGCTGATGCGCTTGAGGCGGCTTTAGCAGGAGCTGCTGAGATGACTGGAAAAAAGGATAAAATTACTGCTGAGTAAGCCATTTTCACAGCGATTTTATCTTTGAAGGTGGACTGAATTCTTGTGCTGTACTTTTCTGCCTCATTTTATTTTAAGTTTCAATCAATCTCCCGTTGATTAATGCTTCAAATTGATGGGATAAGAGCAGAATAGATTGACGTTCTCGTTAATTTTTGCGAAACATTGAGGTAGTAAACTAAAGCAAAAGTAAAGTTTGATACTGAAAAAGTTTTGACCTTAAGGTTGTCCGAAACTTATTATAACTACACCATTTAAAGCTTTATTGTACAAAACAAAGTTTCAACTAAAATCATTAGTAGAACTTTTGAAACAAAAGAACTTGAAAATTCAGTTTCATCAGAGAAAAAAGCACAGTAGAAACCCTTTCAAAGTCGTTTGCAATGTTCCACGAGCAATTAACGACTCCTCGATTACACTGGGCGAACAAAAAAAAAGGCTTCGCTAAAGAAGAAGTTTTCCAAAAGCGTTTCACGATTAATTTTGCACGGACAATTGTGATTCAAGTAAAAAGTTTCGCAGCGATTCATTATATCCCAAGGGCTAAATTCAATTTAACTCTCCTGCCACGACAACGAAACGATGACGACGAAACTTTCTTTGCCGACGTGCGCGTGTTGAAAAAAAAGTTACACGTGCAATATATCGAACGCATAGAGGTAGGACGACAACTATGCATACACACACAGATGTTCGAAGAAGTCGATTACTTCCGGGGACGGGATATCGAACGCGAATTCGCCGGTTCCTGTGCTAATATTGAGTCGGTCCCTTTTTTCTTCATCCTTCGTGGTAACAGCTAGAAGCCGATTTATCCACCCTTGATGCTGCTGCTAACAGTCCGAGCTTTTTCATTTATATCAGTGTCAATTTACCTCGTAAACTGAATTTATAAAGCGCTATTTCACGGCATTTCTTGGTACATTGAGAATAAGTATCACCGAGACTGCACGAGACAAATTATTTAACTGAAATTTCTTTATTAACCAAAGGATTTTTCTTGTCCAGAATTTTGATGGAATATAATATATACATATATATTCAAACGCAATCAATTAGAAATTTTTACATTGTGATCCGCATAAACGATATAACACAATAACACCCAATCAGCAAGAAATAAAAACCAGTTACAGAGATATCCTAACGTAAATTGAATTACTTGTCCGAATCCCTATCGCTGAAGCTCGCTCGCCCACGTCAAACAGCTCTCCCGGGCACGACTTTTTCCGTCCGCCCAATTTCACACACAATTTTGCATGTCTGTCGACGTCAAATTTCCACGCACCCTCTGGCCAACTCTCCAACATTTACATACAGATTCGATCTGGCATTATGCGGAATCGACGAGCTTTTGATGTTCTTTTTTCGCCCTGCGCGAATGAGAGAAAAAAAGCAACCACTAGCGGTTTACTCTTTTCCAAGTTTTTCATACGTGCGTGCGTTTTTCATTTTGCGTTGCTTTGACGGTTTTCTTTCTTTCGAGAGGTGCGAGATGTTGAGAAGGGCGAAAAGTTAAAGCGCCGCGCGCGATGAATGCCTGAATATGTGAAAGGGCGAATCAAAAGTTATTACACATTTACGGACAAAATGAGAAGAAAAGGAATGAATGAGTATTTTTAGAGTGAGCGAGAGAGAAAGAAAAAGAGATTCTATTGAGTTAATTCGAAAATTGAATTTCATTGTTTTTTATTTGAGAGTCGTGCGCTAAAAATTGCTCGAAAACTTTTAGGCGTGTCAAAACACTATTGACAGAAATGGTAGTTAAAGTAATATTGATTTCACTAACGACACGACAATGATTATTTGAAAAATGCTGCAAATTGAAAAGGCGGTTATGAAATTTTAAATAAAGCGTCGCGGTAGTAATGACTCTTTCTCACCTCTGAAAATGACACTCAAAATCTCTAGTCTGTGAATTAAGAGGCGCGCATATCGTGACATAGGGGACAAGAGTTGCCTCATTGGAAACGGTGTAATACAGTTCGTATAGTGCTCCGGCCGCTGGCTTCGCGGCCGCACTCGCGGTGTCGTGCTGTCTGATTCTATCCGCCGTCCGATTTAGAACGTCCGAGTGCTCTTTTCTCAAATACCGACCTTTTTGTTCTTACCTTTCCTCTCTTTTCGCTCCGTCGTAGATGCTCATCAAGGAGACTTCGCTGAGGTAAATGCACTCATCTTCAAATCTTAGCGAATTGTATTGTAGTGCTTTTTATTTTCTGCATAGGTACGTAGTGATAAAAAAAAACAGCGTCGACGTTTATCAGTACCACAGTTTGAACTCATTAAGTACATGAACTCCCGAGCATTAACTTTAACAACTTGATGACTCAAAGTTTTCCATCACCTCAAACAACTCGTGACCTATAATTTTTCGATTGAGTTTTATAGTAGCTTTGAAGTTTGATGCTATTCTAGCAATATCTTCTAATATTTTCTACATATCGTATCATTTAATATTGTATAACGTGTTCACACAACGCTCAAGCCTGACACTGACCTTAAAGTGCCCTCGTACTGCTACTTCGCCACTGTCATTTTTAACTGAGGCAATATATCAAGTTAACGTGTACAAGAATATAAGTTAAAATAAAATATTGTTAATTTTTTAGGGGGCTATAAAACAATTACATTGAAATGAGTAGATAAAAAATTATTCAAGGCTCGAGTAAAGCCAGTAACAACAACTAATTATTTTTGATCAGACTGCTACGTGTCGCTTCGAAGCTAATTCTCACGTGCGAAATCGGCAGTTTGTTCTCTTTATGCGTGTCTCTGCGATCCACTTAATCAATTAGGCAAAAAATCTTTGCTAATTTTTTAACTCTACTTTACCGTCGCGTCCCGTGGCTTTGATTGATAAATTAAGCGACGATCGATTTAAGCCACTCGCTCACGCGTGAGCACGCGATTGATGCTTTACCTAGCTTAAACTGGACTCAATTTGCCGACTTCTTTTTCTGCTTCCCTCGCGCATCCTGTGCATAATGATTTTTTTAAACTGGCGCGCGCGTTCGTCTCTAATCTCTATGTTCATAATCAATTTGCAGCAGAATTCACATTCAACCGTGTTCCGATTTTTCATTTGTAAATCGTACGATCCAGGATGACGTAGTGACTTCCATCCAAATCAGTCGGTTATATTAACAACCTCGTTCCTCGCGTAAAAGTGGAAATCTCGCGGCCGTCGGAATCGCCACGTTTCTCGTTGTAGCCGTGAAACGAAGAAAAACCGAAACAGTACTTCCTTTGAAAACGAAACGTGACCAAAACAAAGGGAATGGATCGATTACAAGCACGCGCGAGAAAACCTATTCGTCCCCTCGGAAAAAGCATGCTTCGACGGTAATTTCGAATGGAGCAACGCACCCCCGGTATTTTCTCGCGTCTCCTTGGATATACAGATGACTACCTATATAACGCGCTCGCGACGCCCGGATAGTAATATAATCGAGGCGTGTGTACTACCTACCAGACGAAAGGGAGGCTCTTTCTCATTTGCTTGGCATTCGAGCGGCTGCTACCATCGCGCCTTGCCTTACATCTACTACATAATGGTCGCTTGATTGAGTTTCATGTAGCTTGCGTTTATAGTCGTGTTTTAGTCAAGGGGCTAAATGATGTAAGCTATCGAAACCCGTTTTCACGTGAAACGCAAGAAAGGAATAAAGGAAAAATGAGCACTTTTAAGCTTCGCAAGTTTTCGACAGGCTGAATATATTTGTTTTGCCGTCGATTCGAAGCGAGTAGATGCCAGGGAGAAAAGAAGAAACATTGACTTTCAAATCTACCTTCGCCACCTACGACTTCATCCGTTTTGCCCTTATTCGAAAAGGATGCGTCGTCGACGGCGATGCTCTCGTATGTATGCGTGTGCGCGTAAAAAGAAGGAGAGAAAGAAAAGAAGAAGGGCCAGGACTCTCGAGGCGAGGCGCACAATGTGCGCGCGCCTCTCGAAGCCTGCGAGTCGAACTCTGCGCCCCCGCGCTCGAGCGTACTCGCGCGCTTTGTCTCCTCGATCTCTTTCTCTTTGCGTAGTGCGCAGTCCTTATCTGCGAGGGGACCCTGCCAGAGTCCTTTGGCGAGAGACGGGGCCGATATTCGCAACGATCTGTTTTTATTCAGCTTTCTTCGGAATTGCCGGCTTTCGCTTTTCACGCTGATGGATATGCACCGCGAACGAACTTTGATGTATACCTATCCGTATTTCATCGCAGCCTTTTGGGATAGACTATTTGGCCTTTTTATATGTTGTGAATTTTTCTTGAAACGTAAAAAAATACTTAATATTAACGAATTTCATTACACTTTGAACTGATCGTACATGTCATACAGTCGAAACAAAGCTCAATTCAGCTTTAATTTCCTGTGAACGTCAGTTACGCTCCGCGGCTTGAGCTTCAGAACAGAAATCTCAAGTCACTCTACTCGTCACTTTTACTTTGGGTATATTCATGTCACGTTTCATTGTTATGTGTGCGTACGTACTGCCATCTCCGTCGGTGCAGTTTGCTCGTTTCCACTTATGCGCCCGCTTCTTGAAAAGGAAAGAGAAAAACAAAAAGAAGGGAACGCCGAGTGATTACACTCCCCGCGGTGACGGCTATGCAAATAAAAAAGAGAGATGAATTAGGCGAGTAGGATACAGGAGAGAAAGATTTGAAAGGATAATAGGAACTACGGTTCGAGCTCGCGATTCGTATTCGTTTCGTACGTAACGTGCTTATTATTATTTTTCCAGGATACCTCTTGTGGAAATTAATTCTTGCCAGGAGTATCTTAACGTATGAATACATTCTAATAGAATTATGACAATTGTACGAATCGGTACTGAAATCTTATAATTGTACCTTAAATTACGTTGAGAATACTATCAAATATCTGAAAACAATAGAAACGATAAAAATTTCGTGAAAAAAAGTAATAAGTACAAAAAACGAAAACGATTTATCATAGATCTTGCCATGTACACTGCGAATGTAACATATCTCGCACCCATTAAATGATGTCATGTTTGACCTTAAATTGGCAGAGCAGTAGCGTTATCGTGAGCTGATCCGGCGCGATGATTTATGCGTAGCGTAAGTCTCCTTTTTCAACGAGCTTTTTTCATTCGCGATATCCCTATTTCTCATTTCATTCGTAGTTTCCGTTTAGTTATATTTTATAGTTACATTGCGAAACTCTAAGAAATGTATTTCTGTGCGTAGCTTTTTCAGAATCTATCACTGTGTCATTACATGAAATGTCCAAGATAGAAAAAAAAGTTTTCCAATCATAATGCAAAAGCTCGACTCAGAGGCGTAGGCTACTTTCAAACAAACTTATCTGAAAGTTCAAGCTTCGAAAAAAAGAAGAGTATGGAACGTCAACTTCCAGCATCACAAAATACTCTGCTACTATATAGAGATAAGATCCCGACACAAAACTCCATTCACCCATCAAACTTCACGACGGCGAACTTCCTACGGCTTGCATATTCGCCTTTAACGAAAATGCACTAAAAGCACGTTCGAAATGTTACAGCTGGCCGGGACTACCGGCGGCTTTACCGTCGCCTGCCTCGCCTTCGGCGGTGATCGTCTCGCCGGAGACGCTGTCTCGACACAGCAGCAGCTCACCGTCTCGCAACAAGGACAGTGGCATCGCCGTTACAACCAGACAGCCGCAGTACGTCTTGACATTGCCGTGCAATACGCAACCGATACCCGCAGTATGCTATCCAACGCCCAACTACCTCGAGCTCGATGTTGGCGCCGAGCGAAATCTTAAGAACGCAGGATGGTAAAGTATCTTTTTCAAAAACTGATTATTTTCAGGTTAATGGGCAATTTCACGCAGAAATACGCTTTCCAGATCGAATTCGTCTCGACCTACACCTTTTGAAATATTCTCAACTGTGTCGATGATAATCGATTGAAAATTCGTATTGATTCGGACGAACAAATACTCGCTCTTATTTTCTATTCCAGGCTTCGTTTGCGACCTCGATTTTTTTTCTGAAAGTTTTCGCGAATCTATAACAACATCGTCAATGGCAGACTATAATGCCTTTGGCCGATCCATTATTGGAATCGGCTTTTCCATTCGATTCTCTTGGTCGCTCTTATTTTCCGTTCAGATTTTTTTCTTTACCAAAGGTACAAAGCAAACGTCATGAACTACACGATGGATAAGACAACTTTAGATGCGAAAATTCAACCAGCAATTCATCGCCAGCCGTATCCCGCTTAATACGTATCCCATCCCCTTTGTAATCTGTAGGTACGCGAAAATCCGGAAACGCTCGTCACGAAATTTCCACGTGATCCGGGCTCGTTCATCACAATTACAGTCAGTTTATCTTATAGACGAGCTTTGAACGCGTGAGCTTTGCAGGCACTCATATACGAGATCATTGAGAAAGTTTCATGTTGCCTGATTGCCACACACTTGGAATATTCTCCATTCGCGCTTGCTACAATGTACGAATACTTCAGTTTCAATTTATATCTTTAAAAATACATCAATGACTTTCTTCGTTGCTTAAATGCAACATCCAAAAAGTTCCTGAATCTGCATATTTGAAATAATATTCAGAAAAATTTATCATTCTGATTGAGTACCCAATTTTACAAAACATTTCACCTTATAATGAAAAATGTACTGGGGTAATAAATATGCGTTTCGGTACCATACACCTCGAGCACTAAAAGTCTTCACCTAACGTAAGATTAGATCATAGCGGTTGGAAGGAAGAAAGGGCAAAAGAGTGTGTGTATATACGTGTGTATATAGCGCTATAAAACCCGTATCGACCGTAGACAGGCCGATTAGAAGCAATTGAGCCAATTTCGCGTGTGTCTATACAAACTGCCTGGGATAGAATGTACGTGGACGCGCATTTGTAGATATTGTAGTTGAATAGTTAATTCGAAAATTAAAGAAATCTCTTCCACGCTAAATTCTTAAACGTAAATGAACGGAATTTAATGGAAAGCTTCTTAAACCATTGAAAGCTCGCAAATGACAGAACGAAACAAGACAAAGATGGCAAGACTGTTGAAATAAGTTCGCGTGGTGAAATCGTAATTGATTTTAACAATATTAAAAAAAGACTGCTAAAGAAACATTGTTTAGCAATATTTTTTACTGGAAATAAATGGGAATGACCCAAATTAAAATTCAATAAAAAGCTTCGTTATCATTTGGAATTGAGCGTGCAAATAATAAAAAAGAGTATGGTGTTTCGTCAAAGTCCCACTACGCTTCAACTAGTTCGTATGTACTGACATCATACAAATTACAAAACCGGAGGGTCCCACACGCCTTCATATTGCTGATGATATAACAAAAAGAGTACGAAATAGCGGAATCGCTCTACTGCAATCAATGCCAAGTGGATAATACGTTTTCAAACATACACGACGAACTCGTTTTTTATTGCTTAAACGATATATAACGGAAATCACAATATACAAGTTATTTTTAGGATGATTAAATGACATTTAACGTATGTTTCAGCGACGCGTTCGCAACGACGCTAAGCGCCTTGTATGGAAAGCTTTTGGTTGTCATGGGTATCGCCTTCCCCATGGCTGAAGTCATATCTACCTACATACCACCGTCATTCTACGAGGGTTTCTATCTCTACCTCTACTTCGGTAGCATGCTGTTTTTATTCATCATGTATCTTACCATGTGCGGCGACTCCAAGCCCAAACAAAGTGAGTTGTTAATAAAATGCCCTTAATTTTGAAATTATATGATAAACGACGTCTTGATGGAATTATTACGTGCTCACCAAATAATCGTATGATGAGTGGAAATGATATTTCAAACTGTCGAGTCTTCGAATAAGTCGGTAAATGACGATCGCGATTGAAAAACTACGCATCCCTTTTCTCAACCTCAACGACGCACAAAAGCTTCCCTCTGCATCAAGACGAGACATCCTAGAGCTCTTCCGGTAATTTCTCAAGCCGTCGTAATCATCCCTCCACAGAAAAGCCAAAAGATGTGAGCGATCTCGACTCGTCGTTATCTTCAAGTGGCGGTGGTGCAGACAGTGATAGTCCCGACTCGCGTTATCCACACCATGGTTTCCATCGGCCGACTCAACACTACGGTAGCTTCTACTTGCGTATGGGTGCCGTCGCCTTTGGAATTGGCTCGATGATTTACTCGGGTCTCGAATTCGGACAGTACTTCGAGCTCGAGCACAACACCAAGTGCCATAACATATTGCTCGCACTCACACCTACCACGCGCATGGCCTTCACCTTCATACAGATGTACTTCATCTTTCTCAACGATAAGGTGAGCGAAGTTTCCTTTTTTTTTAAAGAAAATATATTAATTTTGCTAGTTTTGTTATATTTAAATTTGTGGGAAATATCATGATATACTAAAACTACATGTTCAAAAATTTACGGGAAATGAACGAACGCTAATACTATTCGAAAAAAATTCTATATATTTATACACTGCAAGCTTTTGTATGAAGTACGCACAACAACTAGACAATATTTTTTATTGGTTAATAAAGTATTCTCTACGTCAATCGCTTTTCCAAAATTAATAGATTCTACAAGTTGACCATTCACATCATACATGAACAGAACTAGTTCGATTCTTGACTGGTCTTTGAAAATGTCATAAGTAACAAGCATACGTCCCGAAGAATCGAGCATTAGTGAAAACTCGGGTGGAAATTCCCTGACGTGTACAGGTAAATGAACTGAATATACAAGTTCCAATTCAGAATTGCGCTGCTCACAGACGATAGGCCAAGACGATCGTTTAACATCGAGCATGATATAACAAAAACCAATCCTCGAATCTTCGCTCTAAAAGTCGCGAAATTAGAAAGGTCAGTAAACATTATGGCAGATGTTTATGTTATTATTCGATAAATTATACTCACGCGTTTCACTGAAACTATTGGAACCATTTGATCTAAGTATGTCTGTTCGAGTACTTTAAAGTCTTTATCGAGACGTTTAATGGCAACAGTGAAGTTGCAAAAGTAGTGATAAATCTGGAAAAAGCCTCGTGAATCGCTGTTAGCGTCAAGAGCCTGAATATAAGATGGTTGCATCGTATCCCAACCATCACTTTCAAGTTGCCGATTAATCACAATCCGTTGGCCATTTTCATTGAATCTACACGGCGAACATACATTCGGTCCAGCGAAAAATACATCGAAAATGTCTACGTAGGTGATTACTTGTGGTTCGAGTGCAGATGAGAATATTTTCAAAAAGCGCTTAGGCTGATAATCACTTGGCAGTGCTATGTCATTATAAGTACAATGCCACGGATCGACGAGAAACATCGTGAAGCGCGCTTTCACCGTTATTTCATCGAAGTTACGTGCTTGGCGAACACCCCAAATCACTATTTTACGCTCGTTGCCGAGAATTGCCGTTTCGATGGCTTTGTTGGCCAGCGAACGCAGTGAATTCTCGGCAATAACGCAAGGCTTATACTTTATGTCGTCGATTGGATAAATAGTTAAACATGACTCGTTGCAGGATATCTTGAGTAAGTGCGAGTTTATCGCCACGATTTTGTAGTGGCTGTCGTGAAAATCTATTGTTTTCGCCAAAGATCGTCGTTTTAGCGCTCTGATTTCTGAGATGACTACGGCAGATAACATTACGTAGGTGAACATCGATTTCTGCATATTGCAATTTAAAAGTCACCTGAAGCACAACAACACCTCTAATTGAATTAGTTATTGGCTTTTCAACACTACATTTCTTATTCGCATTCGTACTCACGAAGCTCACGCTGTTAATCCAAGCTATACTATGATACCTCTGCGAGTTGCCCTTCATGCCGTCACACTGCTCTTCTCGACAATGTACGTCGACGTACGAACCTGCCAAGTGCTTGACTCAACAAAAAACCCGAGCTCCGCAGCACTAACTGTAATTTTTCAATTGTCTTCTGAATCTGACGATTGTTTCCGGTGTAAATAAATAATTGAGCTCTACACCCTGCAATCGTCATACCATTATACATGTGCTTCATTTTTAAACATACCTAGAAACTTTCGTGTTCGAGAGTAGACATAAACATATTTTCTCTTAACGCGTGATGACGTCTTTTACTGCACGATACATTGACAGTTATAGTTTTACATAAAGCGTAAAAGAGCGACAATTAAACATTTTTTTTTGTATTGACTAAATATTTGTACATACATATAGTCGTAGTGTTATTATTAAATGCATTTCGACTTTTGCAATCACCGAACCACCTTCGTGGAATTCTCAAAGTAACAAACATGTTGCCAAGTAAATTATGTGTAACGGATACATCAGATGGTCTAGTTTTTACGGGCAACGGTAGATACACCGTCGATACAGCTTCCAACTGCTAATTGAGTCGATCGCATCGATAGCCGTATAGTGACCTATAAGCTCCATATAGACGGAGAGTCACGCTACAAATAATCACTTATGGATTTTTAATCTATGAAACATTTATTTCTTACTAGTTATCTTGTAATACGTGAATTTTCAATTGTAAAACATTACTTACGTGATGAAATAATATGAGAAATTTTTAGATGAGCATGAATTTGCAAATATTAAAATTATAATCGAGAAGTTTGCCATTTACAGTAGAATTTTCAATTCGTAGACATATAAATATCTATATACTCCGCCATTCTGATTTACAGGCTGAATATATTCAATATTCATATATGCCACACCGAAAATTTATTCATTTTCTGAACAAATTTTCCTTTGTCATTAAATCTGCACCAGCTTAGCTGCTGTATCACCCGAGAATCACATCGAAAGTTTCTCTTTATGTTATCACTTGTGGTTCTTGCTGAATGCCCTGCAAGCCATTTTTTTATTTGCCACCTTATAGGTGATAATCACCTGGAAGTTTTATTTTCTTGTAATTACAATGCCATGGATCGATGAGAATTATCGTTGTAAATGCATAAAATGTCGTTTTGTTCTACACGTAGTTATAGTGAATAGTCCAAGTTACAATTTTTTGTATGTTGCCAAGAATCGTTGAATGAATGCGGTCGTCCGTCAGTCGCTCACTTACCGCGAAGACGCAACAGGCATTATAAATGTTTGTCGACTCGAGTAACACGTGTGGTTTATTGAGTGATATGGTTAACAACTGGGGATATATTACTAGTATTACTGAGTATCGCTCTATTAATTTTATTGTGATTGTCAAAATTGATTTTTTCATGTCACTATTTCTGATAAACTCGTTAAAATCGCATACATTGTTATTAATTTGAATATAATACTCATTTTATTACAATTAGTTAAATTATTTAAAACAAATAAATAACAGCAGTCAATGTGTAATCGTAAAATTAATTAAGAAACGGTGAATTAATGTAAATAAAAATTTGTTTTTCCATATTGCATATTACAATTCTCTCCAAATACTGTATTTATAGTATTTTTTCAAACTGCATCGACATACTTTATTACTTTTTACTCTATTTTTAACTATATTTTAATAGTTTTCTATTACAGTAAATGTTTTTACAATTTTTACTTTATGATATGTAGTTATATACTACTCTCTGATCTGGAATAAAAACTGCTTGAAATAAACATCAATTATAAGCGTTTTCAAAAACAAAAGTTGAGTCATAGCTTAATAAAAACACTTATCAGATTCTATATATCAGTAGCTTTTTAATAATATTAGTACTAAAGTAGAACAACTTTATAACACATTTAAGCAAAAATAATATGTTCTAAATTATTTTTATAATTAATATTTATAATGTATATTCATACGTATACATAGAGCGTACAAAATTCCATAATAACTTTAACATATGTAATAATAAACTAAACAATTATACACTTTAAAAGTCTATTAATGTGGAATTTCTTAGAAAGAACAAAACAGAACTCGCGCTTGACAAAGAAGGGACGTTCAAGTAGAAATTCTCTTCCGATAGTATGAAGTTGTCCCAAATCAAAAGATTCGACAAGTTGACCATTTTTGCTGTAGTGATAAAGAGCGAGTTTTGTCGAGTTATTATATAAAGACTCACAAGTGACAAAAGTACTTCCAAACACATCCAGAGTCAAAGAAAATCCAATAGGATAATATTTTGTAGTCACCGGTATGCCAATAGAAGCTTGTAGCTTTAGTTTTGAATCGTATTTTCTGCAATAAATATCACCTAATTTACTGTAAGATTGCAACACAGGAGGCGCTAAGAAGCAAATTGCAATCGATGGATTTCTACCCTAAAATTTTCATTGATTTTTCCATAAAGTTTGCTCTTAACGTCAAAATATTCTTTCCTCGCAGCATATAAAAATAGAATTAAGTAGTAATACTTACACGATTAACGAAAATCTTAGAAATATGATGATCGATACGAACTTGTTTGCGAACGTTGAAATAGCTGTCGAGGTATCTAATCGTTGCAGTATGATTCAGCAATTGAGAAACTTGAAAGTACCCATGAGAACCACTGCTTAAATCTAAAGCCTGTATGAAAGTAGTCCCATAGGTATCATTACCAGCAGATTTTATCTGATGATGTAATTCAATTTCTTCTCCATCTTCGCTAAATCTACATGGCGAGCACACGTCTGTTCCACCAAAAAATACGTCAAAAGTATCCACATACGTTACCACTTGAAGAGCAGATTGCCAACCAGTCAAATCAAAATTCATTCTATGAAGATACCTCGATTGTTGATCTTCCAAAAGTGGTATTTTCTTAAAACTACATTGCCATATGTCAACGAGAAGCATGGTAGATAATACCTTCACAGTCTCAGCGTAAAAGTTTAATTGAAAAACACTCCAGATGACAATTTTACGTTCATTACCAAGAACGGCAACTTGTACACGTTCTTCAATGAAAGAGTTGACAGCAAAAATACAAGTTTTGTAATTTTTATGTGTGGAATTGACATATATGTGAGACGTATTATGAGATACTGTGAACAAATACGATCCTATGGCTAGATTAGCAGAATAGCGTTGAAAAAGTTCTATTTGCTTAGTCCAGGTTGGTTTTTTCAAATCTAGTGTATCGGAATAACAAACGAAGACCAATAATATATATTTAATCACTGACTTCGGCATAATAAACAAATTATAATCTATTGCACGGTCCTAAAAAATTATAATTTAATAGTTATTAAAGTCTTCAAGACTGTTTCATGCTCTAACAGACTTCTTCGACTGCGCGGTGTTGCACCATTACTATGTATGATGAGACGTATACAATTCAGATAAACATACAATGACTTCAATTATATCTTTCAAAACGAGCAAATTAGCCTTGAATA